CCCTCGGCCCTGCCTGTTGGGGTCATGAATGAACTTCCAGTGCAGCTGCTTCGCCTTCTCGGAATCGAACTTCTGGCGGCACTCCGGGCATTGAAAAGTGCCTGTCAACCCATGTCAGGGCATGTCAGGAACTGGGTAGCAGCAGCATTACGCCAGAAACGCCAGTGCCTGTCATCTTGATGCCGACGTTGGTGGTGGTTCCGTCCCCGGACTTGGCCGCATCGCTAATCTCCATGGTCTCGGGCATCGTACGAAGTTCTCGCTGAGGCGGAGGTGGCCGCACGCTTGGGATGGATCCGCCGGAAGCTCGAGCCAAGACTGCAGCCGGGTTAGTTTCAGAGAATTTCGGGAGCATGTGCGGCTGCGTATCTTCCACAAGGGACAGGCATGCATATGCTACATTACATGGGGAGCATCCACTACAGGAATGATGTCTAAAGCCCCCTTGCCGAAGGCCTGTAACTAGATTTGAAGCGCATCTCACCACGTCGTGCGATTGCAAGTGCCACTTGCGAGCCTCCGCGTTTTGTTTGTCGCTTCCTCATTGCGAATGTCTCACAGACACAGGCGATCGGTGACGTGGTGCCACCGGCCAGCTATGCCGTTGTCGTCGCAGAAAGCTCCAAAAGAAATGTCACGGGGCCCAAGTGGGCATGGACGTCTATCGGATGTCTTTGAAAGCGAACTAAGGTCGCGGATTGGCCGCGACTCAGACATTTCAGTCCTCCTGGTGCCTTGCCGAGATCTTATGGAAATCTCTGTACTTCTAGGGTAGGGGTGATGGATTCTCATGAATGGATCCAGCAAGACACTGCAACATAGAAGCCATGCCACGTGAACATGTCCCTCGGCCCTGCCTGTTGGGGTCATGAATGAACTTCCAGTGCAGCTGCTTCGCCTTCTCGGAATCGAACTTCTGGCGGCACTCAGGGCATTGAAAAGTGCCTGTCAGACTGACAGGGCACGTCAACCCATGTCAAGGCATGTCAGGAACTGGGTAGCAGCAGCATTACGCCAGAAACGCCAGTGCCTGTCATCTTGATGCCGACGTTGGTGGTGGTTCCGTCCCCGGACTTGGCCGCATCGCTAATCTCCATGGTCTCGGGCATCGTACGAAGTTCTCGCTGAGGCGGAGGTGGCCGCACGCTTGGGATGGATCCGCAGGAAGCTCGAGCCAAGACTGCAGCCGGGTTACATCAAAAACTTCCAACACCCTGCTGGGCTGTTGCCACACGCGTGGGGGATTTGAGGAGCCAGCAGTCCAAGGTCTTGTAGGCAAGCTATTTGGTTCTGCCAGTTGCGGCCTCGACACAGACCGAAAAAGCATGCTGCTAATGTTGTTGGGCCGGCTGGACGTGGCCGAGCCCCTCGCCCCAAACGGCATAGTCACCTCATCACTTCGGCACTGGACTGCTATATGGACTGCTATGGACTGCTCACAAAAAAACTGGCAGGAAGGCCAAGGGGCCACTGGAGAGTCGGGCTAAGGTTGTCCCGTCCCCCGCTTTCAGATCCACGATCTCCATGAGCTCGACCTTCATATCTTAGACTCTCTTTCCACGGGTGATAGCACCCTATGACTGACAGTCTACGACCTATACCTGAAATCCGAGAGAGGGGCCTTGACAGGGGTCAAGATCTCAGGGTCACCGCCTAGAAGACTCGCAACAGCGTCCCGAAATGATCTGCAAGATGATCTCAAGATGTGCAAGATGTCTCCACTTCGCTCTGAGGCGGGCACCTACCCGGACACAGCCATGTTGGTTCACGCCCCAGCCTGTTCGTCAGAAGGCTTTACAAGGCTTTAAACGGCAAACAGGGGTGCCATCTGTTGAGTCCCTAATAGGCACCTAGGCACTCTCCCGACTCAAGAAGTGCGAAGCAGTGGCAGTGGCCGGCCTGGAGCAGATCCGTAATGCAGATGTTAACTGCGTGCTCTTCGTGAAGGCTGATCTTGCAACAGGTATGACCGAGGAGTTGGCGATGACAGACTTCACCCCTTCCAGCACTGGGGTCGGTGCCTGCGGCTCAATGGCACAAGATGTTTCAAGACGCGTGATGGTGTGGCACCGCCGCGCCTGCTGATGAGTGGTGTTTCCGGTGCCCAGCCGGCCGCCTGTGCAGCAACCTTGGTTCTGCAACTCTACCGGGGCTGCTCAAGCCTGACACGCCAGGATCCTCACCGAAGGCCATCACCGTGCTGCTGTCCAGGACCTCGCAAAACCGGGCGTGCCCCGAGCCCTCATGACTTTCATTGTGGACTCCAAGACGCGAACTGCAAGGCTGAAGTCTACGCCCGCTACGATTTGCCGCACCTGACGTGGGGTCACGGAGTTTGATCAAAAATTGTTAATTAAAATTTGATCCAAGTCTGCTTTTCGGGGTTTCTCTGATTGTGCTCTGGATGAGGAGCTGGCGAGGTTCATGACTTTTGTTGGCTCAGTCTTGGGAAGAACTGTGCCTGGACGTGAGTGACTTATCCATACGCTCGGCTTCCACTGAAGCACATGAGGGATACTATGAGGGAGCCACAGTCTCCGAGCTGGCCGTACGTGTTCTTGCCTCACAGTGGGAAAAACTCCGGACCTGCACCCAGTCTACGTCTTCTAAGCGCTGCTCCCCATGCGAACAGCTCCCCGGTGTCGCGCAGTGCCTCAGTCACCCAGGTCCTTTGTGGGAACGCTCCGCAAGTTCTCGGTTAGCTGCCAAAAAGGTCCCGAGCAAAAGAATGGTTTCTGCCAGCACTGATCTGGATGATGTCCTCAGCCGATAACATTCTGCATGGACAGGAAAACAAAGCCACACAAAGCTAGGTGTAAAATGGTGAAAAGGCAATTCCACAATGCCCCAACAGCCATCCTGGGGCCCAAACAACTATGAGGGCCTGCCGCCGACAAGTGCTTCCGACCGTACTACGACTCTGCTTGGCAGCTGCCTGTGGGTGCAACACGTCCGGCGACACCATCGTAAATCGGTCCTCGTCTGCCGCCTTTCAAAACAAAAGAAGAAAGGGGGATGCATAGGGCTGCTTTGCTTGTTGTGTAGTCTGTGGGTGTCAGGCTGGCTTGCCGACATTCGCCCCCCAACCATACACAACGGTCCTGATCCATCAGATGCACGCACACGCATTCCGAAACAAGCGGTATGATGTGGCATGGAAAGGTGTGCTTCGGGCCCTCACTTACCGTGTCCAGGCGGGTGGAGAATCGCCAGGCTGTGATCCTGACCTGAACCACCACCAATCGATTCTTTCTTTCATAATATGTCGCAGTAAGAACAGGTAAGGCCCCCACCTGCTGCGAGCTGCTCTGCCTCAAAAAAATAATCCGAGCAGAGTTGGTCGACTCCAAAGTGACTCTCGCGGACCACCTTTTAGAAGCTCAGTCTCTCCAGTCATCTCAGGCCGCTGCATTCATGAGCTTCGTCCCTTCAAGGCCCATGGGCCCGAGAACTGGCACAGGCCTCGCCACTGGAATCAGCTAATTCATATATTTGATTATTAGATGTCATATCTATTCTTACGTAAGTATTCATCATCATCCTGCGACAATAGCCGGATGAAATATGGCCTGGTTCGATCAGTCCTTGTTCCGTCACCCAATTGTCCACAGTTGTTCCGGCCTTGGCGACACGTGTTTGTTTTGAGGGGGAAGACCTTTCGCCCGCCTGCTGTCCATACTACGAACCTTATGGAGCATAAGAGTGGTGTGGGCCTCCTTGCGGGTTCCCTTTGCGCCCTCTTGGCTGTGGACCCATGGACCTCTACAGCCTTAGGGAGTCCAAATGTGCGGGGAAGCACGCCCGAGCCAATCGCCCCACGCCACGGTCTCGCCCGTCTGAAGAGTTGCAAGGCTGTGGTACCAACCTCGACCAGCGAAAGCATGTCTGAAGATCGCTTCGCATGCACTTCTCCCGGGTGCCCACCGGCACAAACCGACTGGACCTGAAAACGGGCGTCGCAGACTCATTTGATTATGCTTCGTCATTCCAATCTTTGCATAGACATCAAGAATCCTGCCGCTCGCGCCTCATGATGAACGAACACTGGCTGATGGCGATCCTGCTCCAGGGGGTACAGCTGGTGAACACGTTCAACAAGTACAGTGGGGCCCATGGAAGTCCTGTCGCGAACCGTCCTGCCCGGGCGGGAGCAAGAGGTGGGCAACTTTTGCTTCAAAGTGCAGTAATCGCTGAGCTGTTGGCCCCAACTTGCCCAAACCTGGCAGAAACTCAGTGCAGTGAAGCTTGTCTTGGAATCTTGGAATCCCTGCCATCTTGGGGCTGGGCTGGTTGTGTCCCCATGCATAACCTAATGCTTGGAAGATCACCGGCAAGCCACACCCTTCCACAAAGCGAGGTCTGCGCTGCGCTGCTTGGGTTCCAGCAATCACCGTTGGAGAACACCGCCAGGAAGTGGAACCCTCCCACAGCGATCTCTGTGACCTCCATCGCTGACCTGGACCCGTCACACGCCACGGGCAACACTTCCCTGCCCCCGGGGTTCCCAGGCTCTACGACCCCCGATTTAAGGTTTGCTTCACCTACTGTTTGCTTGCGTTCGTTGGAGCCATAGACACCTCCGTGTTTCGTCAGCTCTGCTTTGTTGCGCATCCTGAATAGCCGATGCTATGACCGCACGCGCAGGCAAAGATCTTGTGTTCCACTCGCTTAGCCAGCTATTTGCAGCCATTAGCAACTTCATCCCTCATTCCAGGGCATGTTGCTGCATGAAGCGCTGAGCTAGGCCACCATAGCGAGCTTTCCGGCAGAGGCCATTGCTTTGCACGCTGCCCGGCCAAGAACTTGTACTGATATTGCTCAAGCTAAACAACGGCAACTCTGCGGACCCATGCAGTTACCGTCACTGAATGCTGATGCTAAGATTCTACAGGAACAGGTCCTCAACTGCACAAGTCGACATGAGCCACGACAACGGAGATTGATCAGCACAGCTCCAGCTTAGGGACTTAGGACAAAGGACCCAGGACACTGGGTGGCACCTTCTGCCAAGTCTGGGAGAATCGCACAATGGCCGCCCACTGCCTTCCAAGCCCCCAAGACGGAACTGCAAAACTCTCAAGTCCATCTCGGCCTTCGGAAGCAGACCCGACCTTTGTTTCTCACCCACACAAAGCGACTTGTAGACAACAAGCCTTTGAGCCTCCACAAACTCCATGCGGCGTTCCGCCAGAGAAGAGACGGCTCAGGCAGGCACCAACACGCGCGCCCCAAAGGTAGCAGGCAAGGCCCAGGGTCATGTTAAACAGGGAGAAGAAAGCTCCTCTCACGTCTTTGTGGCATGTGAGTTGCGACTTGAGACTCTCCCATGGCTTCACACTGCAGGGCGCACCAAACCAAAGGCTGTTCAAGCCAAGTGGGATACCTGACGAACGAGAGTCAGCTTCAAGAAGAGCCCCCTTTGTTCCCTTCTTCCTGGGCCCTCTGCCACTAGCGCTCCCAGAAACCTGCGACCAGTGTCCAAAATCCATAGCGTAGAGACAACGTTGCATCAAGCGGCTTGCGTGCCCTCTATCTGACTCAGGGCTCTGCACCAGGAAACGAAGTCGCCACGCTGAGGAAGCCTTACACACACAGCCATGGCCGAACAGCTGCTTTGTGTTTGGCACGGCTTGCCCTTCAAGAACTTCAAGATCCTTCAAGTTCCTCAACATGACAGAGCCTGCGCTGAAGGCCTCAGCACTGACCTAAGCATTTCAAGTCAAGCTGAAAAACTGCACTGTGTTGCAACATTGTGAGAACCCTGCTAGAACCAGAATGCGTGGACATCTCGGGGGAGGTCGAAAACCAGTAGGTGATCCTTCTGGCTTCGGCGGATCGACTGGGAAAGCCTGGCACCGACGCAGCATTGCACGTGCATGCATACCCTGCTAAGCCACTGCTAAAGACTAGGTCGGGCCGGTGACATGTAAAACTATGTAAAGTCTGCCGGCAGAGCAGTCGGGTAGACTTGAAGAACCCTTCCAAGAAGGTACCTGCACAAGGATGCGCAAGGCATACCCGCAGCCGCAAGGCAACGGAACAAAGACATGTCCTCGGCGGTATACGCTTCGGGAAATGCAGTGCCAGTCCGCACTTTCTTTCTCCACGTACCAGTTTGGACAGTTAATCGCAGCCTGGGCAAGCTGCCTATGGCAACGGAAATGATTCAGTGCTGTTTCCAGACCCATGCCTGCGGTGAAATATCCCTGCGCTGTACAGCTACAGGTAGCAAGCAAGGCCGCAGGCAAAACAATCGTGTTGTTGTTGTCTTATACGCAACAAAGCTGTACAACTGAAAGACCCCTGCCTCTGCATTTCCAACAGCCACGCGCCGTTCTGCACCCAGGTGGCGTGCCATCAGAAAACAGAGTCGGGGAGCCACCCCAAGGAAACCCACTCAGACAAATCGGTATTCGAAAGGATCCGGGGAGCACCTTCCCTCCATCACACCGGCATCGTGAAGACATTCCATAAACGTGGAAAGCTGAACAGGAGGCTGCTGCGAAGCAAGCTCGGCGACTTCCAGCAGCGTACGTATTCCCATTGTGTGACCCTCCAACTGCTCCGCCAGCTCCTGGACCAACCTTGGAACACTTCAAAACAGCCAACCGATACGACTAGTGCGGAGCATGCCCTAAAGACACCTGCCCATGTGGAGCGCTGCACACTGCCGCAACAAGCCAGGAGAAGTGGGATAAGCGCCGAGGAATGCCGAGGAGCTCCGGGCCGAAGTTTGGGCGGTTTCGGAGCGCCGCCTCAAAGGCGCCCCGCTGTGTCAGCGACGGGATCTGCAGCGCGGTGCCGAAAGCGCGATGGAGCCCGACCTCCCGTAGGAAGCCAAGCTCCGAGGTCGTGCCGATCACCAGCATCCGGTAGCCCTGACGCGCTCATCGTGTCATTTACCACGCAGATGCCCGACACTTCTGATACATTCGAGCAATCGTGTTCCTATAGTATAAAGTGAAACTTTGTGCATAGTAGTAGCACGTGTCAGAATTGACAATGCAGTGCAGGGCCGCCTTGTCCGATCTTTTCTTGAGGAGGCCGAATAACCTCACGCGACATTGCAGAGAAGACATGACAAGACACCGCCGAAGAAACCGAATGTCTGAAAGGGCGCGCCACATTCTGCACTAGCCTTGGGAGAATCGGCACTCGAGGTTGGAGGTATCCGTTACCGCTAATTAAAGAAGGCCGAAGGGCAGCTGGAGGATGTTGTTGGAGAAGCGCTGGCCGATGCACGCGTAGTCGATGAGACGCTCGATGTCATCTAACACGACCAGCGACAGCGGGGACTTGTGCGCATCCTCGAAGGTTCGCTTTATGATCTGGAGCTTCGTAAACTCTGTCTCCCCTGCGAGGCTCTCACCAGATATGCGCCGAATGAACGGGAAGTCTGATAGCTTTGCAACGTGCGCGGACAGCGCTGATTTCCCACTCCCGTTTATTCCATGCAGCAGTGTGGTTAGCAGCAGTGGCCCAGGACAGGAACGCGTTTGCTGGACGTAGCCTTCAAGCTTCTGCAACAAATGGGAACAGGATGGCATAAAGGGAATGATGCCCTGCGCAGCCGAGTCCTCCAGGGAATTTGTGTCCTGTCCGAAAGCAGGCCTTACCTCCTGCAAGGCAAGCTGGAAGTCCGGGGCAGCCACCACAATGCTGTCCAAGTCTTTCGCGGAGTTCAAGTTGTGAATGTCCTTGCAAGAAGCTGGAGAAGCCAGACAACACTAAAAACACCAAACAGAGTGCAGATCACAGCTGAGATCATGTCCCTGCTCTGAAGCCGAGACTCCACTTTTCGACTCATAGCCGAAGCCACGGCCGCGCGCACCAAGCACTCCAGCTCGGCACCGGAGAAGTTCCGGGTCCGGGCCGCAAGGTCCTCAGCGCAATATCCGCACTTTCAGGGGGGCACAAAGTGTGGCACAAGGCAGTGCCGGACACGAAGCCAGCGCCCACTAGGTCCTGCAAGCACACCCCTGCGTCGAGGAATCGCCCCTTCTGGAGCTTCGCTGTGTGAATCCTCCGAGAAGTGAACGATAACATGCCATTTAGCGACTTTCAGAATAAAGCGTCAGGTACAAGTAGAGAACACAGTCTGTGTTCCACTAGCAGAAGTCGGAGAGTTTGAGTCCGGGGATCTTCAAAATCTCCAGGCGGCCCGCTTCGTCCGGTAGGCCAATCTCCACATGTAGCTCAAGACGCCCAGGCCGGAGCAGAGCCGGATCTAAGAGCTCTTTGCGGTTGGTCATTCCAATTCTGAGTTGCGTTCATAAGGAATGCAAACTGTGCCACCGCATTCAACAAACTCTAGGTACCATGAATATAACATGATATAACTTGCATTTGCCTCATTAACATTCGCTTACATCCATCTTCTGGCATTGCGACAACCTAATGGCAGTTCCTAAACAGCCACCCAGAGTCAGGAGAACGTTGTCCAGCGCCTCAACGCCGTCGATCTTTGAGAGGAACTGATTGACAATGTTATCTGATACCCCCGTGCCATCTCGGCTCGAGCCACGGGTCTTGCACACAGAGTCCATCTCGTCCAGAACGATCACGTGAAGCTGCGCGTTCTCCCCGTTCAAGCGGTAGTCCTCCTCGGCATCGGCAAAAAGCGCCCGGACCTTGCGCTCGGTCTCTCCCACCATCTTGTCCAGGAGCTCGGGTCCTGTCAGATGCACAGCATGCGAACAGGGGCACCTAGAAGCCCCCTATAGTGGCTCTAGCGACATAGCGGCACTCATCGTCAGGTCACGTCAGGTCACGCCACGCTCCATCAACTGCTTTCCCATGAGTCCTGCCACGACCTTTGGCTCCACCGCCTTGAGGAACTTGGCAAGCTGGCGTGCGAGCAGCGTCTTCCCAGTCCCAGGCGGTCCATGCAGCAACATGCCCTTGACCTCAGCTTAGCGCTTAAGCCTCAAGACGTTGCTTTTCCAAACGCTGGATGAACAGTCTCGGGAGTTGAGCTCATTCAGGCTATCAACTGGTGTGGACGCGATCAGTGCGGCCACGGGTTGCTCAGCTGTCTCCGAACGTGGATGCCGTTTCGCACATCAATAGCGGTCACAAGACATGCGAAAAAAATTGGGTTAAACCCCCTGTAAGAACACTTGGGCATTGACGACGGTGGGTTGCTTTGCTGTTGGTCTTGCCTCTCGCCAAACCCCGCCGCGTTTGCTGAGCGAGCTTGCTATGTGGCACCAGGGTGTCTTCTCGCTGTAATGTTATCTCAAGCATCAGGTGCATCAGGTGTAAAACCTGCCTTAGTTTCAAGGCATGCCTTCTTCCTCTGGCTGCTCAGTAGCAGAGTAGCAGCCAGTAGTTAACAGGAACTTCGAAGACCGACTACCCTGACTACCCTCTCTCACTCTGGGCCGGGTCCCGGCCTGATTGTTTCAACAAGCTCGCGCCTGCTTGATGCCCATGGCCCTGACCACCTTGGGTGGAAAGACCCTCGCGGCAAAGGCCCGGCGAAAGATGTCTCCGAACTCCCGGGAGAGCCCGCCAATCCCCAGTTCTTCGAAAGAGAAGTCCGGCTGGAAGATGGTTCTCTGCTGGCTGGAATTGTTTAGAACGAGGAGCTTCCCGGCTACCTGCGGCGCGGCGGCAAAGCTCACCACGGTCTGGTCGGTCAGAAGGCCCAAGCTGGTCATCTCGTGCCGTGTTCTGGCCCCACTCCCAAAATCCATGGCATGGGCGCTCTTCACCTGGAGCTTCACCAAGATGCCCTGGGCGCCCTGGGATCCCTTGATTTGGAGGGCCAGCATCTGGTTGTTTGCCAGGGCTTGGCTTTGGAAGCTTCTCCGGAACTCCTCCTCCAGGTCCGAATCCAACAACTCGAGCCGTCGGGCATCTGCCGGTGGTGCCCGGGGGAAGGAGACCTCAAGGGAGCAGGAGGCAAGCAAGAACTCTGGCGGCGCGCGGAAGGCGCGCACCAGGACCTGCTTCTCGAGACCAACCCGTGCCAATGTGCGCTGATAGTCGGAGAAGGCTATGCAGTCCTCAGGCATGGCATGCCGATCCAGCATGAAGATGCAGTGGTTTACCTCAACCAGTGGAGTTGAAGTTGAGTCCACGATCAGCTTCTGAAATGTGGTCGGAGACACGTACCTGACGAACTCTGAGTAATGTGGAGTCATGTGAGTCATGTAGCTGCATGTGGTTGCAGCGATGTGCACCACTGTCGTCTCGACGAACAACCTTGATAAGGCCCTAAACCGGAATGTAAGAGCGCCAAGCTGCACTCGGTTTGTCACTGCCAAGGCATGGCCAGCCACAGGTAGCTTTGTCCAGGTGAGGGCCAGTCCTGAAGGGCGTCTGCCTACAGATTGGATATTAAGCTGCTGATAAGCATGACGGGCTCCACAAGGTTCCTATACCCAATCTTCTTCGCCGGTCCTGCGTCCATTGTTGCAAGTCGAAGTGGGTCTGCTACTTTCACAAGCTTGCTCCAGGGGTGGCTAGCAGCAAGCCTGAACCAAATGGCAGCAGAGCCCCCACCCCTTGCCGCAACCATCAGAAGCCACGTGTTCTTTTCTGAACCTGAGCCTTGGCTCAGAAAGGCCGGGTGCGATGCTTGAAAATACTCCATAGCACAGGAAAGGCTCTGACGGACCCTGAAGTTGCTCGCATTTGCTCGCCAAGCACACATGACATGCTTGGGGATGCCGGATGTGCCATTAGAGTTTCTTGGCACGTTGTAGGCGTTGTGTTCTTGGATGGACTGTCCCCCGTACCAGTGACGCAAATCACCGACACACGCGCCTCCAAGATTCAACGCCAAGGTCAGCAACAGCAGCACCCACCTGCCCAATCACGTTAACTGAACCCTTTTTGCCTATGTTGCAACTGAACCCGAGATTTGCTTCTGGGCACTCAGACTGTGTTTCACTTTCCTGCCCCGCTGAGGGAGCCCACTCTGGTGGGGGCTGCCAGGTGCCGGAACGCCGAGAGCAGACTAGACATGGGAGAAGCAGGTTCACGGCCACCTCGGTTCAGCTGACCAGCTGACAGGAACAGATATAGCAGAAACAGATAGCATCAAAAGAAAGCAACAAAAAACCCGTTGAGCTGGTCTGCCTCAGACACTGCCGCGCTTTCAACGAGATACCACCAAAACAGTTGCTTCTCCTCACGCGGCTCAGTTGGTGACGCTTCGAGAAAGCTTTCTCCACAGCACGACACAACGAGGCCCCACATCCCCGCAATGGTTTAGCAATGCTTGCAAGCGTTAGCAACCCTCCACGCACTGCGAGCTGGTGACGTTCGTCACGCAACTGCAGAAAGGGCGATTCCAAATCCTTGCGACAGGACGGCCTTCCTCCTTCGGAGGGCTGGCTGGCTACTGCACATATCCCATCGTTGCAACATTTTGCAACAAAAACTTGGAACCACCCGTCATTACAAGCCGAGCCATGACTATGCGAAGGCACCGGCAAAACTTTATTGCTTAGACTGTCTTCATCGCGGTAAAGCGTGCGTCGAATGCACGAAACTCGTTGATCTGTGGGTCTATCACCACCGGACCCCCTTCATCCATGATGAACCTCCAGATCACACAGCCATGCCACAACATCTGCCATTCTTCACTTCGCTGCCATGTACAAGCAGAGATTTGTTCGGCTTCAAGTTCGCAAACAAGTGGCTTGAAGATCTTGAGTCGATCTTCCTCATCGCCTCATGATCTCCATGCAGCAGCTGAGAAGGACTTCCGGAAAACTTCCTAGGAAAATCACTGACGTGCCTCTGACTCTGAATGCCTTCAAGGGGCTTGCTTTGATTTGGGTGCAGGTTGTCCTCGACTCCTTAGCGCAGCTTGGCAGCCAGCTCCGGCCCTCAACTCACAGGCGGCAAAGGCATGCTTGCAGCCTGGCTTCTGAGAATTCGTTCGGCCCTGTCACTAGAACCTTGTCCTTGTAGAAGCCAAACTTTTTCGCCTTCGTGCTGATGCATTTTTCGGCGAAAACATGTGTGACGAACCTCCTCTCCAGCCCCATGTCTCTGCAGCAGATTAGTTAGATTAGTTCAGCAGCCCAAGAGGCATAGATGTACTCCACCAGACACCAGGCACGGGTGTATAGATCCTCCATGCCTTCAGGCACTTTGCTGTTGCGTCATGTGCCATGCTTCGGGCTCCAACTTTGGCGACTAGGAGACAGGGATGTGCTCGCCCGCTTTGCCCAAGTGCAGCAGGGTTGCGGTTTCTGACCACCACATAACGCTCAGCAGCTGACAGGGCCTTCACCTGAACGTCTTCTGTGGATCATTTCTTTGAAGCTGAAAGATCCTGCCACCATGGGGCGAATGGAGCTTGCGCAATGGATTGCCCAAGTGCTTCTTGTATGTCTTCCGCGGCTCCTGCACTACAAGGCAAACAAGGCAAAGGACCGCAGGGAAGAGCGCAGGGAAGCACGAATGCGAAGCCCTTGTGGCCTTGGAAGAGGGAAAAAGCACAGATGAACAGGTGAGGCTTGACGACCGCGACGTCGTAGGCATGCCGTAACGAGTCCATGAACTCGTGGAACGGTTCCCTCCAGCAGTGGGTGATGAAATCCTGCACCGGCAGCCTTTGCCATGGGAGTTCAGGGAAGAGCAACGAGTCATGCCTATGGCAGGACCACACGGAGAAATAGATTGCCGAGGCACACTTGCCAGCCTTAGTTGCACACAATGGTGCTTTGCGCACGAACTCTACTCCTTGTCGGGCATGCTGGTAATATTGGGGTAGCGAAACATACAAGTACATACCGCCCATAGCTCAATTCGGAAAGGCAGCCATTTCGGACCAGCGCTATCGGTGCCCCATGCTCAGCACAACTTGGCTTTACGATCTGCTGCACGACGTGCCACCTCAGACATTGCCACAACTCCCGTGCGCACCGTTCTTCTGCAGCGCAGTCTGATCTGAGAATGCTCTGCACAAGTCAGCCCTACGCTTTGAGCACACCACGTAGCTACTAAGCATGACAAAGCACAGAAGGTTTAAAATTTAGAGACTGCACATGAAGACAAGCAGCATGCTCTTCATGTTGTAGTCGCTGCCAAACTGTTTTTTGGCATCCTGCTCGATACTTTCCTCGTGAGGATGGCTTGTAACTGTATGGCCTTACACCGTCTCGATAGGATTGTACCGTCCTGCCATTGTTACATGTTACATGGTGATCGTCATGCGTGTTGCAATGGATGACTTGACCAGGAGTCTAGTGCCGACCAGGAAATGCCCCACCTCAGCTGATTCAAACGGACCGCTCGAGGCATGTGCCTCGCGTTCACCGCTTCAGTTGCAGGACAGGGCGAGTGCAAGCAAGGTGCTGTGCTGGATCTCGCAAGTATTTGTACAGTGCCGCGCGCTCGCTCGGCCCAAACTTGTGCTCGTGCCTGCAGTGTACATGTGTAAGTACGCGAGGCTTTCCACGCCTCTATGATCCCAAGGATCCATACCACTCCCAGCCCAGACAAGCTGCCTTGCCAAAAAGGGCCAGGTGCTCTTCAGTTGTCGCCACTGCGAGTCCACTAGCACACTGGGTGTCCGGGTTGTGTCAGCCTGCACTGCACTTCAAACAAAATCATCTTGCATTGCACTCGCCGAGTTACTTGCACTGCTCTCGGTGCACACAAACGTGAGGGGTCACCGAAAAGAACGGGTCGAACTCCTCCGTGCGCAGTAGTTTCGTGGTGCCTTTCGGCCGAAATTTGGCAAGGCCTCGCCTGAGAAGAACGGTTGATATCTCGGAATTCTAACACAAGATAAGAGCTGGAATATGGGTGGGATATTTGGTTCGGATATCAAGTCAGAAACGTCGCGTCTCCGGAGTGAGATATCGGACCCCAAAAGCTGGGTCTACTCAATGAACCCCGGAGCCTTCCCGAAGTCGGATACGCCGGCAATTTTGGACTTGTTTAAACCCTGGCACGTTGGCGCAGCTGTCTTTTTGACACTCCGTCCACTTTCGCCTGTGACCGTCCTTTAGCACCTCACTTGTGCATCCCTACAAGTCAAGCGTTCAATCCTGCTGCTCGGACGTGTTGCCCGCGGATCCCAATACCCTCCCTTTCCTCCGGCGCAGAACGCGGGACCGCACGAGCAGACCTAGTCCACTCAAGAAGGCACGGCTCTCGCTTGAGTCGCTTGGGAGAACGAGGACAAGATGAGACAGCACCCAAACGAGGATGGCTCTGGTTTGAAGTCGCGGGGAGGTTTTGGAACATGACGATGCAGGACTTGCATACGAGCCTTGACCAGTGTTCCATGGTTTTCTGCACGGCTGCGCAGTACGAATGGCCCTTTTCGCTTTTTGAGGGTTGCATCAAGGCAGCATTCACACAACGAGGGTTGGTACGCTTGCAGATCCAACAGCGCTTTCCCATATCAAGAGAAGGTTGGATTTAGAAGCAGCAGCCCAAAAACATGAACTCATGCTCTCCTGATCTGCTACAGCTGCCTTGGGACCATCTGCATTGGGTGTGCCATATCTACCAGAAGTAGGCCTATCAGGGTCTAGAATGTCAAAAACGTGGCAACAAGCCCAGACCCTGCAATGGTTGCTGGTTCCAGAAGGTACCAGTACGTCAGGATTGTTAAGGGGGCGGTTAAGGGGGGGAGAGCCGATCTGTGAAATTACATCCGTGAACGGCGGCTCTGCAGTTGAGTGTCGCTCGCGCTTGCTCCACGTCGGCTTTCCTTGCCCTACTGGACTTGTCAACCCCAGAGAGCCAGACTTCGTACTTCAGGTCTTTCATGAAGTCCAGTCGCAAGTGCTCCACAAGGTTCACGATTGAGTGCAGAACAAGCCAAGGCCCGGCATCTGTGGCGGAGAGGACATCGACCTTGATGAGATCATGGTCCAGGTGCGCTGAAATTCCAAACTCATGGCCCTCAAATGCCAAGAAGGCAAAGGACTCCTGGAGCACCGGCTCGGCCTTGCCTCCACTGCACTTTTGTATCGCATAGCAGATGAGGCGCTTGTAGAGATTATCGGGAAGGAAGGACGGAGCAAAATCCAACCAGAAGGTTCTGTGAGCTACCCCTGGAAGAGATGCCCCTTCAGCTGCCCCTTGTGGCAGGAGGCTTGGAACCAAGTAGGTGTCTGGTTCCACTTCGCAAGTTAACGCCACTTGCTCCATGAAGCGGAGCAAGAAGGACTTGTGGCTTGGTTGCTCGAAGCCGTGCTCCCAGAGGCGATCAAACAAGCGTTTCGACACAACCCCCTTGTACCTCCAAGCATCATACGCTGACTTCATTTCGATCTTGATCTGCTTATGGTGTTCCTGTTCATGCAGCGTCCAATCGAAAATGACCTGGCAGATGCCACTCACGAGCCACTGTGGCTGAAGAATAATAATCTCACGAAGCTCCATCGGTGTCTGGAAATGGAACAAGACACCGAGCTCCTCAGACATGGTCTCAGCAGAGGTTTTTTGCAACTTCACACCCTTAGGCCTGGGAGACCAAAAGGCCGAAAGGAATCCACGCATGCATAACTAGACAAGTGCCCCGCTATTGCAGCAATTTAGTATTTACAGGAGGTTTTTCGGCGGGTCGTGTTGCGAAAGTGCAAGGGAAGGTGCGTGGAAGACTTCAAGCATTGCGAGCAGCTGCCAGCCCGGCAAGCCCTCTGCCTTGGCAATCGATCTCAGCTCCTCCATGGAGATGATGGAATCTTTCTTTGCAAGCAACACGTCCAAGACCCCCCGCCACCTGATCGGGATGGGCTTCTCCAGATAATTGGCAACATCATCATGAGCTGCGGCTTCAATGGCATGCTGTAACTCTTGCACAACTGGGTCCGTGCCACCGCTGCCGCTGAGTGTGTTGTCAATGGGAAAGAACCAGAGGCCCTCCCCACCCTCCTGTGTGAAAGGCTGGACCTGTTCTGTCAATCGAGTTTCGAGCTTCTGCCAGAGTATGTTGCTGATTTTCCTGTGATCTGCGCTATGTGGTACATCGTCCTTGTGGGTACCCACAAGCAAGACTGGGGCTCCGCGTGCATGCATGGCCAGGGAGTTGAGCCAGTACTTCAGCATCGCGATCGCACGGTCACAGGACTCATCGGAGCGTAAGATGTGAGGCATCTTGAACACCACCAGGTACACGCTGCAGCGTGATAGAAACAAGTGATGTAGGTTATGGAACACAGACTGGCCGCCGAAGTCCCACGTCGAGAAGGTCACCGGCTGACCCGCAGACCTGGGATTCATGATCATCTCCTGGCGCGAACCACAGTGGTTGCCAAGTCTCCCCTACAACCATATGCCCACCCGTGTGTCTTACCTGTTGCCACAGCATGACTGAAGTTCAAGTCTTGCTAACATCCCAATCTCCTGGTCCAGCTTTTGCGCAACCTCATCCACCGGGAGCTGGTTCAGGAGATTCTCTTGAGGCGCAGACTTGAAGTTCTCTTGAGCCGCAGGCTCCTCCAGACCTTTTGCGGTTCTGTCTTTGGCTATGTCACTGATGTCACTGCCTATCCCTGCTTTCGTTTCGGAGCTCTGGGCACCGGTTTCAGATTCGTCGCGTCGCGACCCATCTGCCAAAAGCTGCTTGACAAGGCTCTCGGTCTCCGATGTTGGGCCTTTCATAAGCCAGTCGACAGCATCGCCACGCTGGATCTCGCAGCTTGCAGTCTCAACTCCGACCGTGGAGGCCTGTTTGTCATCAAAGGGCTTCCCCACCAAAGACCGCACCGTGGAGGACTTGCCCGCACGGCCCTGTCCAAGCAGCACCAAGCGCCCCCTTCGCCACGGCAGACTAGCATCCGCTGCCTTCAAGCAAAGCTCTCTCTCTCTCTCTCTCCCTTTTGAGCTCTTCTTAGCGATTCTTAGCTTCGTCTAAAGGCGGGCGCTGAGGCGGATCCTTTCTGATCAGCGTCGAAATGGGGAAAGCGTGTGCCATGACACAATGACCCTGGTGATGTGCACCCTGAAACAATCTGAAACTCCTAGTGCTCACTCAGCGAGTGCCGTTCCACTATCCTGAATCTCAGCTGACCGATGCAGAGTTGCACACGGAAACAACGGGTACCTGACACCTCTGTCTCTCCCTCTCCCTCCCCTTCTCCCTCGTATCATTCTTGTTCCCGTCCAAGATGCCAGAGCGTCCTGTAAGGCGGACTTGGCTCTTCCGGCATAGAAGTTCGCCTCAACCGGTCTATCGTAGCTCTTGGAATAGCTTTTGCCGTTTGCAGCCTCTTTTTCGGTCCAGCCAGGGGGTACGTCGGACGATGCAGCCTGGGCTTCAAGGCCCTGGGCTTCAAGGCCCTGGGCTTCAAGGCCCTGGGCTTCAAGGCCCTGGGCAGCCTCTGACTCTTTGGGTGCCCCAAACAGCGTCTTCTCTTCCAAGCTTTCTACCTCCTCGTCGGCTTCCTGCGAAGTGTACAGGAAAAGCTACATTCCAGATCATGGCCTTCGTGAAATTCTGAAAGGCTCCCTGCCCCACAAGGACTATATAGGCCCAAGATCTCGAGCCTTGGCGATGGACTTCTTCCCCTTTTTGCCCGACCCTTCTCGAGGCAGTTCTTGACCTAGCAGCAGCTAAGAACAACGCACCTAAAGATAGAACTCGGCCGGGAAGTCCCGCCTGGTCCAAACCTCTTCTCCTCACACCGTCAGAACATGTAAGGTCGGGTTTTTCGGATTCCGTGCATTCATACTACCGTGATACTCTTTTGTCAGCTTCGGTCGGTCCTTGGATGTGCGGAGATTTTTCATCACAGAAGGGGCAGCCAAGCAGACGTGTAAAGCGGTAAGCCTGAAGGAGTTGGGTTGTAGAACGGCTAGAATGGCTTTTGCAGTCTAGAGCCTTAACTTTCTACATATGGACGCTCTGTGCGCGCTGCAGGTTTGCTCAATGAACTGGCCACACTCGTATGGTAGAACATTCAGAAATGGCTCTTGTGGCCCTGAGCCATATGACGGAAGCACGGGGCGGGTGGCACAGCAGCATAGCACATCATGACTGTCCCGAGAACACTGGAGAGCGCATCGAAATATCGCTAGAACTAGCCACCGTGTGTGCAGCTCCTGGCCGCTAGAAACCCGGGGCTTCGAGCCACCCTCCTGTTCACCAGCCAGGCTCTGGAGTTTCAGCTCCTCCGAGCACCGGATAACTGTGCAATAACACGGCGGCTTTTCCGATTTGCCGGTTGCTCCTCGCTAGGACTGGGAGGGTACACACGCTCCGCGAAGTAGGAGCTGTAAACCTACCAGGGGCAGGTTTCCACTTTTCACGTGTCTTCTTGTCCTGTGTGCCTTGAAGTCCTCATGGTTCTCATCCTCATCGCTCGGGCTTGCGATTCGCTCGAGCCTCTCCTGCACAGGCTTCCACAATGCAGGCCTTAAGAACCGCATGCCTGGTGGCACCGCTCACCAAGATGTTCCACACTGACCACTGGCGCAGACCCGCAGCCCTGAGCACGAACCCAGCATCCTCTTTGTGCGATTTTCGTCGCCCAACTGCTGGCAAATCTGCTTCCATGGCAGCTGCTTGGGCTCAGATGACAGATCAATTTTCTGTAGGCTCGTGATGTTGCCTTGAGTGAGCGTTGATCCCACGGAAACATGAATTCCTTTCTGTTGCGTACGCTGTTCTTGGGCATGGATGACTTGAGTGTCAAAGTGTGCTGTCGTGGGTACCACCGGTACCTGACATCTCCCCCACAGAGTGCAAAGTAAACTCCTTCTTCATTGCAAAAGATACTCCTCTGGGCCTTTTTCTGCGCCAGGCGCGTCCGCTGCATCAGCCATCCGACAGGAACACCTTAGCTGCTCAGTGCGCGCCCTTGTGTCGCACCAACGTCCATGATAAATCCGTCGACGCCCTCATCCAATAAGCTTTTCCTGAACTTTCAGAATCCGAGCTTGCGTCTTGCAGAGTTAACTTTGTGGGCAGCATTGGGTCCGTGACCTGGAATTGGTTGCGACAACTTAGGACAACTGTCACAAGTCCGCTACGCAAATGCTTCCACTCGCCCGGGAGGCTGGGATTAGGGCACGGGGGCACGGCATGAGTGGAAACTGAGCACTGTAAGTGCATTTGAGCTCGGTGCGGTGAGGTCTTCGCCTGGTGCAAACACTGGCCTGGGTCAGGAATGGAAGCTGGCGTTTTAATTGGAGATTCTGCCTGATCTTCTTCTGGTTCAGCAGCCATGCGGCCATGCGATCAGTGCATCGAATGACGCAGGGGCTTCACTGGGATGCACTGGGCCGGGCATCCCACGGATCCGCCTTTGTCAGCTCGTCGAGTGTCATTTTCAGCTTGTACCTTGGCATGGCGGGCCTTTCCCTCCAGAGCCTGAAGCGCACGAATTCCCTCTTGAGGCCCATGCTCATGCTGCTGGCGGATGGGCTTCGGGTTCTGCATAAACACAATGCCACTAGTACCTGCATGTGGTAGATGCCACTATGAACCGTGCCAAGTCTGCAAACATCTGCAAAGCCCCCCAATGGTTGAAGCAAATGCCTCGGGTTTTTTTGGATCTGGCCTGCAGTGCCGCCGAGACTTCTGAGCAGTTCTGCCCGGCGGGCTCTCAGATCATCTAATTGATCTTGATGAGACACTCGCTCCTTCAACATTTGCCTTTGCAAAGAATCAAGCTTTGCTAGATCTGCGGCCTCTCCGGCCTGTAGCTCAGCGCACTTCTGCGTCAACCTTTGAAGTTCGGCTGCCTGCTGCGTGCACTTGTGGCGCAAGGTTTGATGCAGAGGCTGCAAAGGTTCCGCAGATTTGGTGTTGCCATCGCCATCATCGCCGCCGTCACCCCGCTCCAACCAATCCTGCGATGGGTCGCGATGTTCCGGCATTCCCTCGACCGGTCCCTCGACCTGCTCAGCTTTGGCAAGGAAACGCGGCAGGTCGATGTGCAGCCAGCGGCGAGCATCTTCGACTGCGCTCTCCACAGCTTCCGCTGAGGCACGTGAGCCCTCCGCAGCACGCTGGAATTGCGCTTCGAGGTGTTTCCGCCGGGTCAGCAACTGGCGCAGCTGCTGTCGCCCATCACTGAAGGCCTCAACAGCGGCCTGCAACTTCTGGACCGTAGCCTCCACCTCCTCAGCCTCCTCAGCCTCCACAGCCTCCACAGCCTCAGCCTCAGCCTCGAAGAAGGGAAGCTCGGTCAGTTCAGTGAGCTCGGGTCTCGGGAGGTTCAAGATGTGATTGGGAGCCTTGGGAGTATTGGGAGTACACTGAGTACACTGAGTCTGAGTACACAAAGCACTTTGGCCAGGATAGCTTCGAGTCATCGAGGTCCCGGCGGCCCTTGCCACAACCGTCCCGGGCTTCGGGTTTCTCGAGGCCAAGCCAATGCGGGGCTGTGCAGCAGGCTGAAGTTGGGAAAGAGCCAGCTGTCTCAGAACTTCAGGACTGCGGGACAGCTGCACAACACCAGAGGGATCGCATGATGGGCTTGGCAGGCTTGGCTGCGAAGGACAGCTGCCTGTAGAAGTCATTTCTTGAGCCGCAGTTGCACGCAGAAGCAGTATGCAAGGGTGTGGCATGAGGCACAGTCCCACATCAGCATCTGTTTCGGAACTTCAGGGACTTCAGGGACTTCGGGGGAGCTCTCGGGATCCTTAGGCTTGGGCTCGACACGGATGGCCTCGCAGACGCTATGCCATCCGTCGTCGGAACATGAGCGGAACTTGGGCCCTTGCCTGGACAACTGGTGTGATGGACTTGCCCCGAGGCAATCGAGCAGCTCCTGCCAAAACAAGCAACCTGCGACGTGAATGTGATGGCGAAGGACTTGCGACGTGCCTGCAACGTCGAGTTCCGAGGGCGCGTCAAGGTAAGCTTTGCACCTCCGCACACCATGCCTTAGCCGGGATCATTGAATCTGGCCTTGGTTTACTTTTCGCTTTCAAGACAGGTGCAATCATACCTGAGCCGGGATCATTGAATCTGGTCTTGGTCGAGTCTTCGCTATTAAGACAGGTGCAATCATCCTTCTTCTGGTACGGGAAGGTGTGTGTATACACACCAGTCCTTGAGTACGGGTTCCAAGCTTCTGCTCGCAGTTGTTTGAAACTCGGTCGCTGGGACAACCACTGTCCCATGTACATCATGTAGCTATTCAGAACGGGCCCACAGTAGGTTGACACCTACCGACGGACTCAGAGAAAAATCCGTGCGAGCATTCGCGGATTGAAACCCAGCCTTCAACGCTTCCGAAACAAGCGCCGCAGATATCAACGCATTTGTCGACCTGCCAAAAGCACCGCTCGCACTACCAATACCAGGAGCAGGCACCCGAGGCGACACCCTCCGACCACTGAGAGCGCTGCGCAATCGCTGGAATGATTCGCTTGACAACACCCATGGTAAGCTGGTAGGTGACTCCCTGTCTGAAGCTGCCAGCTGAGCAATCTGATGCTAATCATCTTACGCCACTTGCGTGATACTTCAGGCACCCCCTCCTGAATCCCAAAGGTCTCTGCTCTGTCCTGCGATAACAGACACTACATTCCGCCTCAGTGACTGCCTTACTGTGCTTGCGCGTGCCTTGGCCGTCTCATAGACCCACTGCATGTCGGCCACAGAGTCCGCGTTCATCTTCTGTCCGGGAAACCGCTGCTCCTGCTTCCGCATGTGAGGGACGCGTTCGGCATGGATGTGAGCAAAACGAAGCGAAAGAGCAGAAGGTGCAGCTGCAGTGTAGCTCCCACATCACCACCAGCGCATACTCGATGCAGTGCTCGGGCAAGCGAGGCCTTGCACAGCGTATGAATGTGTAGAACGCAGCCGCCCCCGAAATCCCGAAATCCAACAGCCACACAATCCTTACATCAGCTTGGGGGCGTCTCGGCAATGGTGCACAGGGGATAGTTCACCTGCAAGGGGAAAGTTTCGACCAGTTCCTCATTTCGAATGCTGGGCCTGTGGAGGAAACGCATCCAAAGAGCAGTCAAAGCAGGACCTGTGCTCTCACTGCTGAGGTCTCTCCATCCTCACCGCACCGAAATTGCCATTCAAGGTTCGGGCGTCATCGTCGGGATGATCACTCGAGCCTGCAAATATTCACAACAAGCGCTAAGAAAGCGCTACACAAGCGGCCGCGGTCAAGGCACAAGCTCGAGCCTGACCCTTGAAGCCCTCTGTGCCACCATCCTCACTCCCATCACAAGGGATCAACATGGCCAAGGAGAGCCAAGGAGAACCTCGGAGAGCCTCGGAGAGCCTCGGAGAGCCTCGGAGAGCCTAAGGCTGCCACAATCAGCGGAATGATAGTGCTTGGGTCTGGCCTCTGCAGCTTGACAGCTTTCACGTGCTTTCACATGGTTCTCACATGTTCCTCCTTGCCCTGTGGTCGCGGTGCCATCGCCCCGATCCCCACTTGCATGACGCAGAACGCGGTGGCAACAGCACCGGTGGCTGCAAGGAATTACCAGGGTCGCAGCTCACCAGAGGTGCGGTCGACCATGTCATGCAGAGTCGCGTTCATCCACCTCTTTTCTGGGTTGGTTTTAGTGCCTGCCGCTCAATCAAGCCCAGCGTCTCCAGTGTCTCTTCGGAATTTGCCAGCAGCCTTCTGGCGGAGATGTTATCCAGCCCGGCGATGAGCAGGTTGAACCTCGTTGCGGCGGATCGTGGGCTAGCGCGGTATGCGCCAACATTCTGGCTCTTGTGGCTCTATGAGCCCGGCTTCCTGTAGAAGGTCTCGTCGAAATCTTGGATTTTCCCGACATGCGGAATGACCTGCACAGGCCAAGCACCAGAGCAGCCTGTCTTGATCCCAAAAATACCAAACAAACCAACGCCTTCGTTCCCAGATGCCCCAGACGGCGGTTGATGAAGGCCGCGGCAACTTCAGCTTTTGGCTTGCCCACATCAGCCTCTTTCCGCTTACAAACGCACAAGGAATTTCGCCACGGTCGATGCAATTTGGGCAATGCCTGCCGGAAGAGGAACTGTCTGTTGAGATTTGTCACCTCAAGGTATGTGCTCGCCTGCTCGTGCTCAGACTGACATGCTGCAGATGCCTATAACACATTGCGGCTGAGTGGCATCGATGGTGTCCATGTCTATGACCTCACTTCGCTCCCCTCCTCTGAGACTGCCAGGCACCCTCCCGGTTGAATGTTCCAACCGATTTCCTCTCGGTGAGTTCTTGTCATTGTGCGAGTGGTGTCAAACCCGTTCAATCGAGCCTGAACATGAGCCCTGCAGGGAAGTCACCAACGTTCGTCAGAAGATGTGAAATATCCATCAAGTACGTCACACCACAAGCCACAAACATCACAAACAGAATCCAACTTCCCAAAGTCTGTCAACCATGACATATCTTGTGAGCCTGAGGTCGTGACATGGATGTCAGGAAAACCCGACAATGCCAGGTCCTGGCGTCCACCAGACGCATGTCAGTGTGGGAACAAATCCCATACTAAGGGCTCTATTTGCCTCCCGCACTGCCCTACCCATACTAAGGTTTGCTCCTTGAGGATTTCGCATCCGAGGCCGCCGGCTCCGATCACAAGAACTTTGCAGCCTCAAGTTGCGGTTCACCAAGCGCGCACCGACAAAACGCATGTGATGTCCGAGAATGCCACTTTCCCGGAGGTAGCTGATGGTCTCTGCCTTGCGCCGGTTTTGGATGACTGCCCTTGTCGCCTCACTCCTCTGCTGGGGCAGCTGCGCCAGGGTCGAAAGCGTCCGGGTCCGCGAAAGGACTCTTTCGGGACAGAACCCGGAAGACGTGCCCATGCAACTGGCCTGTCGAGCGCAAGATAATGCTTGTCTTGGGTCTTCTCTCGCTCGAGGGCCAGAAGCTGGGGCTTATGCTACGAACTTCAGGCATGTTGCGGGCCTGCACAGGGCAGTCACCAAACTGTCACACATCTCTCTGCCAAGCTCTTCCAGGCCTTCGGCCCAGCTTGCTCCGCGCAACGATGCAACAAGGGTTCAAGCACACCCGAACATCTGTCAGTCTGTAGCCCAGTCTACGCCTAGACCAAGCTCCTACAGCTGGAAGAGCCATGGGGTCAACCCGTGCCAGGAGAAGGCAGAAAACCAACATGAGCCCCGTGCCCCACCATGAATCTCGCGAATCTGAATGTTGTCTACAGGCACACACTGCTGCACTGCTATTGACCTAAGCAAGCAAAACACGTCCTTTGCACGCGGCGAAATCGAATCGACATGGCACAATGACTCAGCTCTTGCTGAGGAAGGAGAGCACCTCCTCCGCGGCACGCTCGCCCTCTTCCAGCGCGCCGTGAGCAAAGCTGCCTTTAGTGGGGTGGCTGGCCTCCCCGGCCCAGAAAAGGTTCCCGCAAGCAGCACCTAAGGCGCTGCGCAGGGGTGCAGTGCCAACGGGGCAGTACGAATAGGCCATCTTCGCAAAAGGATCAGTGTCCCATCGGTGGACTTCGCTCTTGACGAAGAGGTCTTGCAAAGCCTGACTTGGCTTCTCAAAAATCACACCGAGCTGCCGGAGGATCTCGGCTGTCATGTCTGCATCACTCATGCTGAGTAGATGTTGGTTTGCAGTGCGGCCTCCGAAGTAAGCCGTGAGCACTTTTCTATTGCGTCCGGGCCAAAAGGCTTGAGAAGACATCGAATGAAAAAGAAACGCCATGCGCTCGGGCCAGAAACTTTCCTTGAAGTGCAGGTAGACGGTCGTGGTTACTCCTCGTCCCAACTTCTCCACTGCCAGCCTCTTATCCTGAGGTAGCGGAGGGTCAAATGCAACGTCGGGGATACAGGCCAAAGGAATAGTGATGACAGCTGCGTGTGCCGTCAAAGACATCCCACCCCGGCATGTGATGTGCACCGCGTCTCCCCAGTTCACTTTCTCCACCACTGTTGACAAACTCAAGTCCAGGGTCTTGGCCATCTTCTCCGCTAAGCCTTGATGACCGCCCACGATCTTCCAATGCCCCTCGTCACCATCTTCGTCCAACAGACTGGGACGTGCTCGCGCCAGGGCCTTGATGCGATCGCTGTAGAGGTCATCCTCGTATACACCCACATCGGCGAGGTCGGCAGCATGCCATTCGGCCATCATTCCCTCCATCAACCTCCGCTCGTCAGCTGTTGGGGGACAATCGAAAACGCGGTCCACCAGCGTCTCCATGCTGACGTCCTCGTGCCCCGCTTCGATCCACTCCTGCACTACTTGGTCAAACTTCTCAAAAAACAAGCGGTTCGGCTCGCTGTGTACCCTGTCTGGTCCGCGAAGCTGACCGTCAACGTAGATCCAGCACTCTGGACCGCCCGGCAGATTCGATGCCCAGCCGTTGGCGGAGCCATCCGTTTGCATGTTATACCGCTTCAAATACTTCCAGGTCGTGACATGTTCCCCATGGACCCAGTCGGCTCCACCCCGCGAGGCTCGTCCGCCAACGAGGCTGCGAGCTTCCAGCACGCGCACTCGAACACCGTGTTCCTGCAGCCGCAGTGCACAGGCCAAACCCGCCAAACCAGCCCCAACGACCAGCACCTCCACCTCTGCGGCCGAGCTCTTCGCCCTGCCCTTCGAGCTCGCCGGACATCCATTTATCGCACCTTTCCCCAAGGCACCTGGCCAAAAGTGCTCGAAGCAGCCCGAACAGCTGGCACCCATCTTTCGTCTTGGCGCAGAAGAAGGCTGCGAGCTTCAAATGGTCTTGCTTGTCTTGCCTTCTTTGCTGACCGTCTGTTACGCGGCTGCACCTTACTTCACATTAAAGCTTGGTAGTCCTTCACACCGCACTAGCATTTGCTCAAGGAAAAACTGCAGCCATACATCGTGAAGTCACGAATTGCATTGCCCCGGACTCGCTGACACATGTCGGCACAGGATGGCGTTGACTTGCAGGCAGGCCGACTGCAAAGCAACCGTGAGGAAACCGGCGCAGTCGCTTTTACAACTCAGGCAGCATCTGAACTTTTCTGAATCTGCTGGGCGAGGCCCTGGCAAAGAACAGGGTCCAGACCATCAAAGGATGCGCACGTTGGATCTGCAGCCACGTGGCCTGCTGGGCCTGTTGAGCTCGCTGGCGGAGGCTCGCGAAGGCTCCAGACAGTAGGCCTCTGGCACGGCTGCGTGCTGCAGCTGTTGGCGCAATAGTCAACTGCAATGCCAAATATCCTGCTGCCCGATGCTGGGCACCTTGCCTCGTACGTTGCCGGGATAGGCGGAGTCAGTCTTCTGTGCTGAGGAAGCCTCAGATAGTCAGATCCTCACAATTCGTCACTACACAAACTGTTTAAGACTTATACCCAGCATCACTCGTGGAACACCTGCTTCACTGAAACCTTAAAGAGGAGAATGGCCCCCGAGGAGCGGAGCTCTCGAGTTTCAGTCCACGCTTCTCTGCCTGGCATACTCTCAGTCCAAGCCTGAAGTTCACACGTTTTGCACACCTTTTCTCACGCATTCTGTCAGCTGGGCCATGACCTGCCTCGCGTTGCAGGGCTGCAGCGCCACCCAGCACCACGGACACTCGCGGCAAAGAAATTTGGCCCGTCAATGCCTTCGTCTTGCACTCGAGAAATGGATGTTGACAGGGAACAGGTCATAGGTGAAACAGGTACCGCATTATGCACAGCTGCAGGTTTATCTCAGTGTGGAATTTAGTGGAACAGAAAGCCACCACCGAAAATCACATCCCTAGATACATCAATATGATCAATATGTATATGTAGCTCTACTTCTGCTTCCAGCCTGCGCAAATACGTACAAAAACAACCGGGGGCGGGGGGGGGGGGGGGGGGGGAGGAGGCGGGGACACATGACTGGCTGGAGATTGCCACAGCAAAAGCTGCACTGGAAGGTCTACGAGAAATCTTGAGCTTCTTCTTCGTGCACATCTTTGTGCTTACAGTCAAGGCCTCGAACAAGGCGGCGACCACTCCGCCACCATCCGTTTTGCATATTTGGGCCGCGTCCCAATCTGCCTTGACGGGGGGGAGGCATGAGAGAGGGGGGGGGGGGGAAGGGAGGGTCTGTTTTCAGCAAAAGCCCCGAATAACTGCGCAGTCATGATTCTTATGAAAGGCCTGATGTTCAACAAGCGCGCCACTTTGACGCACGCTAACCTGGCCTCCCCCCCCAGCACCGCAAGGTGTGCGCTCTCAGACTCTGAGATCCAGCCTTCACAGCTGGTGTCAAAAAAGTGGTGCAATGCACATCACACGCTCTTCATCATCGAAGTTGTTCCAGGCTCGCAGCCTTCACCCCAGGCCTCGCTCGCGGCAGCTTGGAGTGCCTCACCATGTCAGAATGCCCTGGTCATTGTTTTGCATGAAAAGACGGCACGCTCTTGGGCTCGCAACCCCTTTCACGAATTTCACGTACGATGACTGTGCTCACACGCAGTAGCAGCTGCGGACTCTATGATCGGCGTCCACACCACTGTAACCTATGGATTGTGGCTGATGCGCCGTGTTGGAGGTGTTTCCCGCCGCTCCTCTTGACATAACCACGGTGGCAGATTTGAATGCATGAGTGCAAGGCCGGGTGTCCTTGCAAACGCGTTTGGTGACATGCCCATGCAACCATGGCAACCGGTGCCTGGGGGCCTTGCCATTGTCTGTTGCGTGGCTGACAGAGCCACAGGCTTGCGTATGGTTGCTTCATTGCCCGTTGAGGTCTTTGCCATCCTGGTGTGGTGTGCCTGTTAGGTTTCCCCTTGTGCGCGCATCGCCTGCTGGAGCAATGTAGTTTCAAAACGCCTAGTACCACGCGCCAAAAGATACATTTCCCAGGAGGATACTGTTGTCTTGGCCACGGCCTGAACGCATGTCGTAGATTGCCATGCCATGCCTGAATGAGTAGAAGAGATACCCAGAGTCATCTCGGACCGCGCCTGGAACACCTCTGCACCAAGCGCCGCGTGCTCTCCCCCTTCCGGCGTGCTCTCCCCCGCTTTCACCTGACACCGAGGCTCGGCCGAGGAACGATGCGCGAACAATGCAGAGATGAAGCCTCGGGGGCTTCCTTTCCTTGGCCAGTAGCAGACTGACAAGGTGTGAAGTTTTGCGGTTGTCTGTCACTGGTCTGAGTATCGGGCGTGCCCCAACCAGTCCGCCAACCTCGGCTGGGAATTTGCTGCGCCTGTTTCCATCGGATTATTGGGCTCCCACAGGCCTCCGAGATGGCACGGGAGAGGGCAGCTGCCAGGCGTTCTGCTCGAGGGCGACCTGCGAAGACACGGCCGCTTGTCAAGTGCCACTTGCAACAACCAGGCTCGGTCTATCTCGGTCTCCGGCTCATGCCGGCACTCACCTGCGCAAGGCGCTGCCTCACAAAAACCCAAGAAGCCGTAGCTGCCGTAGTTGGTGCTTGTCAGACAAAGCTTGTACATTGTGCTTTCTGCGATCAACTCACTGGACCTAGACCTATAGGCCCCTGACAGAGAAGGTGGATGGAAATGAAGCGCGTTTGGCAGATGTTCCTCAAACATGCTGTCACGTTCATCTCTCGGTGGTCATCATTGCAGCGACTTGCAGCGCCCGTAATTGCAGCGCCTGTTGCAAACGTTTCTGGCGTCTTCTCTAAGCGCCAGGCCGCATCGTACGCATTTCGAGGTCGAACGTCCAGAAGCAGTAAGCGAAGCGACGGTAATTGCCCAGACGGCACTGCCTGCACCGAGTCCTGACAGCAATTGCTCTTGCCTATCCATCTTCGACTCGTGCCGACTCGAGACACCACGGGACTGCACATGACATGACCTGGACATGAAGGAAACAAGCACCGAGCTCGTGGCCAGTGACGTGGATGCCGGATCAGAGGCCTCTGCATGTGACTGCATGGTTAGATGGCGCGACCCTGCGGCATCACGTCGTAAGCGTGTTAACCCCGTCGTATCGACAGCCATGCAATTGTGACATATTGTGACGGCAGGAAGCGCACAGCTCACACTAGCACGTCGTTTTGTCTGGCACCCGCTTACCACCCCCCCCCCCCCCCCCCCACAAAAAATAGAATCAAAAAGTATTCGCAGCTCGCATCTTGGCAAGTTCCACCGAGACACGCGCACGAACTGTGCCACAACCTCTCTGGCAAGTACCACGAGCCTTCGCTCCTGCACAGCCCCAAAGATTGCGCTCTCCCGGCAACTCACATTGCTGAACAACTGTTGAACAGAGGGTGTCGACCGCAGATTTGCCTGCTCTGCGCGAGCCAGTACACTGTCGGCCCATGGATGGCCAGAGCCTTTCTTGCGAAGTTGCTCCCTGACCTGCGTTCTCGTCATGCACAGGGCCAAACATCTGAAGGTCAAACCCGAAACAAACACCGACAGTGTCCACGCCTGCATGATAACGCGGGACATTCTGAACGAGAAAGACTTGGGGGTCTTTGCCTTGGCTTCCCGCGAAATGAAAAACAAACCGAATGGACATTCAGCAACAGCATGGGAGCAGAGAAGCCCCAGGCGTGCAAGATTTCTGCGGCATTCCAGACATCTTGCAACTTCTCCAAGGAGGTTATTGTGGTACGATCAACGGCGTAGTTCAGGTCATCCTCCTGAGGCAGCTTCCCATGCAATCCTCTAAAAAGTGGGGCTTACTGGCCTCGGCATCCAGAAAGGCTTGCTTCTCCAGCTCCATCACAGCGACTGCTAGAAATGGTACAAAAGTGGGATCCCCTCGGCGAATGTATCGATGCCAAAGCCTGCAACCAACGATCGGCACATGCGACCGAGCAAGCCAAAATTTGCACAAATCAGCCGTCAGCAGGGGGCCTGAGCAAGACTTGCAGCGGTGTCTTGTACGCAAACAGGGTGATGAACCATGGCGTTGCCTTAGCATCCGCTTCACTCCGTTTGGGCCTTACAACCCCTCAGCGCAAACTTCGACACACTCTCTGAGGAAGCCAGGGCAAATGCATACACCACCGGGGCGACGCCAGCTTCTTCCAGCTGGTTGTGCAGGTGCGGGAGGTGATACCTTGGACCACATCCGGAGATGTTGGAGATGTTGTCGAGCTCACGTTGGCTCTCCCTAGGCAGCCGACAGCAATAGCTGGCGGAAGAAGAGCAGGGTGATGTGCAAAATCACAAATCCCTCTCCGTCGTAGAAGCAGGGCATGAAGCTCCGCGTAAATATCTTGAAACAGTCCAGAGTCGTTGGGCATTGCGGTTTGCTGCCTTTGTCGACAAGGAGAACGATGAAGTCAGCACTCGCGACACAAAGCTGGGCATGGACAATCTTACAGTGCAAGCAGCTTCGAAAACCGTCACCCGCCGCCTTGGCCAGCTTCGAACATCACACAACAGCAACAGTCGCTGCCAAGAAAGTGCCTCGATGTAGGCGAAGACCGCGGCAACCTCGTGCAGGCCCTGGCTTCAAACGCGGCGATTTAGGGGGCCAAAAGCATCTCGTTCTTGGCATATAGCCGCAATATAGCCCGTATGGCGATGGCCTCGCCTGCATGTACCGCACGCCCTCCGCGAGGCAAAAATCGGTGAGCAACTCCTGGAGCCCGAGCCCACGGAAGCCCCCCGAAAGTCCCAGGAAAGCGCACCACAACGCGCGAAAGCAAGCGCATAATTCAGAATGGTTCAGAAAATCCTTCAAGAATGCCTCAGAGTTCAACAAGTTTCAACTTAGCCTGCAGTCTGCCACGCATCTCTGGGGTAGAAAAGGCGGGATGAGCGCCTCCAGTCATCAGGGGCATCATTTTCAATGGTTGTCAGTCAAGCACAAGCAACGAGATGCAATGAGGTTCCTCGAGTTCGCAAGACGTCCACCTTGATGGTGTGGGCATCTGCCTTGACTGACGTAAACCCTTCACGTCCCTGGTCCCCTCGCTGCACGGCACTTCCCGGCGCTGCAAAAAGTACCGCAAACCGCGAACCTCACAAATCTCGCCGAACTCTGCCAGAGTCTCGGCCTTGATTGGCGCACCACTTTTGACTCAGTGCTCGTCCTGATTCGTTCTTCCCTCAGCACAACCTTGCACCTCAACCGCGCCTCGTTCTGCGACTTGCCGCGACCTCATCTGGTGGTGCGAATGTGTGGGCATGCACGGAGATGCTTGGACTCGCGGTTTTCAGGCGAAGGTGCACAGCAGATCCGGCCAGCTTTGTGCACCTGGGCTGAGCTCATGCATGTCACTCGCTCTCGACGGAACTGTTGTCTGGGCAGCATCATGCACATTCAGCATCTTTTTGCTGTAGGCTCCGAACATTGCCGCGCAAACTCCGCAGTCGAATCCTCTTCCTTGAGACATGGTGACCGACAATGGCATGCGTGCAAGCGTGCGCTGGGTTCTCGAGTCATTTCTTCTGATGCCTCCTGCAATGTCTTGCCTCTCTCGCCTCAGATGCAAAGCAAAGCTCAAGACCGGAGCGTCTTCCTGCTGAGGCCTCGCACTCATGTCGGCAAAAGAGCTATGCCAGGGCCGCGGCTGTCTCCCATTCCGGCATCATCCCATCGGAATCGGAATAATCAGACTGGATCGTGCGCTTCGCTGTATGATTGTGCTGCAGCTTGCTTGTACATCTCACTGAGAAAGACAAGGTCAGAGACATGCAGTATGCGGTGTTGCATGGTGGTGCTTGCGCCACTACACTTGCCACACCGAATCTGTCACCCATGTGCAAGCTTGTAGGCAGCAGTTGGATGTGGATCATGTTGCAGGGCATTTGGGTAACCTAAGGCCAAGCTTGCCCGTACTTTCATATGTATATATAGAGAGAAGGAGACAGAGAGAGAGAGAGAGAGAGAGAGAGAGAGAGCGCGAGCGAGCGAGCGAGCGAGCGAGCGAGCGAGGCCTAGATAGATAGATAGATACACACACGTGCACTTCTGACAGTATATCCGGGAAGATTAGAAGGGAGATAGAGAGCGAGAGCGAGGCGCTAGAGGGAGAGAGAGAGCAAGGGTCAGGCAAACAGAGACAAACCCGGCGCGTACCCGCTCGCTTTGTCAAAGAATCGGCCTGTCGGTCGAGTCAGCATGTCGAGCTGCTACTGCTTCACTGATGCTCTCGTCCTGACCTTAGACGATTCCGCAATATTCTGCACAAGTGCTAGCGCCCCCACTGATCTACCAAACCAGCATTCCCAGCACTCCTCCTCCTCCCCCTCTCATGCCGGTGTATGCATGCACAAACAGACAGACGGACGGACGGACAGACAGACGCACGTACGCACCCGCACCCACGCACCCACGCACCCACGCACCCATGCACCCACGCACCCACGCACCCACGCGCACACGCGCACACGCGCAATCACCCACACACCCACACACACACACACACCCACCCACCCACCCACCCATGCACCAACCCACCCACGCACGCACGCACGGACGCACGGACGCACGGACGCACGGACGCACGCACGCACGGACGCACGCACGCACGGACGCACGGACGCACGGACGCACGGACGCACAGACGCACGGACGCACGGACGCACGGACGCACGGACGCACGGACGCACGGACAGACGGACGGACGGGGCAGCCACACAGCAAGCACTGCAAACAGGATAGGGGCAAACCCAGACGGCAGCCACACAGCAAGCGCTGCAAACAGGATAGGGGCATAGCCAGACGGCAGCCACACAGCTAGCGCTGCAAACAGGATAGGGGCAAAGCCAGACGGAAGCCACACAGCAAGCGCTGCAAACAGGATAGGGGATAGGGGCAAAGCCAGACAGCAGCCACACAGCAAGCGCTGCAAACAGGATAGGGGCAAAGCCAGACAGCAGCCACACAGCAAGCGCTGCAAACAGGATCGGGGCAAAAGCCAGACGGCAGCCACACAGCTAGCGCTGCAAACAGGATAGGGGCAAAGCCAGACGGCAGCCACACAGCAAGCGCTGCAAACAGGATAGGGGCAAAGCCAGACGGCAGCCACACAGCAAGTGCTGCAAACAGGATAGGGGCAAAGCCAGACGGCAGCCACACGGCAAGCGCTGCAAACAGGATAGGGGCAAAGCCAGACGGCAGCCACACAGCAAGCGCTGCAAACAGGATAGGGGCAAAGCCAGACGGCAGCCACGCGGCAAGCGCTGCAAACAGGATAGGGGCAAAGCCAGACGGCAGCCACACAGCAAGCGCTGCAAACAGGATAGGGGCAAAGCCAGACGGCAGCCACACGGCAAGCGCTGCAAACAGGATAGGGGCAAAGCCAGACGGCAGCCACACAGCAAGCGCTGCAAACAGGATAGGGGCGGCAGCCACGCGGCAAGCGCTGCAAACAGGATAGGGGCAAAGCCAGACGGCAGCCACACAGCAAGCGCTGCAAACAGGATAGGGGCAAAGCCAGACGGCAGCCACACGGCAAGCGCTGCAAACAGGATAGGGGCAAAGCCAGACGGCAGCCACACAGCAAGCGCTGCAAACAGGATAGGGGCAAAGCCAGACGGCAGCCACACAGCAAGCGCTGCAAACAGGATAGGGGCAAACCCAGACGGCAGCCCACAGCAAGCGCTGCAAACAGGATAGGGGCAAAGCCAGACGGCAGCCCACAGCAAGCACTGTAAGCAGGATAGGGGCAATGCCACACAGCAAACGCTGCACGCAAGATCTTGGAAGCAATGCCACACGGCAAGTGCTGTAAACAAGATAGGGCAAAGCCACACAGCAAGCTGCAAACAGGATAAGGGCAATGCCACACACAGCAACTTCTGTACATATTCAAGCCGGAAGCAAAACTACACAGCAAGCGCTGTACACAGGATATGGGCAAAACCAGACAGCCATCGCTGTAAACATGATAGGGGCAAAGCCACACAGCAAGCGCTGTAAACAGGATAGGGGCAATGCCACACAGCAACCGCTGTGCATGGGATAGAAGCAAACGCTGTACCTAAGATAGAAGCAAAATTTGTAAACAGGATATGGGCAATACCACACAGAAACTGCTGTACATAAGATTCAAGCAAAACCACACTACACAGCGCAGTACATATAGAAGATAGAAGCAAAACCACACAGCCAGCGCTGCCATTAAACAGGATAGGGGCAATGCCACACAGCAACCGCTGCAAACAGCATAGGAGCCAAGCCACCGCTGTATACAGTTTAGGATGTCCAACCGTTTCAAAGCCATCCCACAGCTTATTCACGGTGCCCCAGTTGGGCAGCCTGTTGGGTCACCCTGTTTGGGGCCCCGACACGAACCTCCAGACTTCGGACATGGAGCCGTGACTTGCGAAACTGTCAGACATGAATCTGGGCATCCGGGCTTCCGCCAGCGATCGGGACGACCGCCTCAAGCGCAACCTCCGGGGTTGGGTGTGACTGGACGGGGCGAAGGTTAAGGGACTGAAGGAATCGGCTCCATGAACATTCAGGAGTGGTGGCAATCGGGCAAGGGGAGTCAGGGCTTTTCGGCAGTGGATGGGGGAGGTGGAGGGATGCTTAGGAGGTACCGGATCAAAAAACACCGAAATGGTATCAAACAAAAAAAATGTTCTGAGTTTCGCTCAGGTTCTCTAGGAATTCGGGATTTCATAGGATGTCATACTAGTTTACGGGATTTAACGCGCCAAACCTACGGGGAACGCGACGCCCGAAAACAGTAAAAAACAAGCAAAAAAAGGTCGTTTTTTGGATAAAAATGACCCCGACAACGACGCGCGAAACCTACGGGGAACGCGACGCGCGCTTTTTGAAGAGGTAAATAAGCAAGAGCGCGCGAAACCTACGGGGAGCGCGACGCCAAAAACGGACCCCAAAAATGCTAAAAAACGACCTCAAAACGCGCGCGAAACCAAACCCCCTAAAACGAACCACTTGCCTCGCCTGGATTGTCCGAGTGTGAGCGCCGAAACAAACCTTAAACCCTATAAACACACCCTAACTTACTCACAGAAGCATTTCACTGTTTTGTAGTGCGCAGTCGTACCGAGAGACCTCGTCTGGCTTGTCCGAGTGCGAGCGCGCAAACGCACCCTAAGCCTTAAACAGACCAGTAAGCTTTAGACGTTGAAACCCACACTAGGCAAATTCTAAACCTTCAGCAAACCTTACGCTGCGCAAAATCCTATGAGATCCTGTGACATCTCATGAAATCATATCAGATCCTTCAAAGTCTTATGCACTCCTCCTATGCGATCCCGTGCGATCAAGTGAAACTCAATGAAATCTTAGTAAATTCAGTGAAATTCTATTGGATCCTATGAAATCGAAGCAAATCTTAGCAAATCCCATGCAGGCCGATAGGATTTCATGAATCATATGAGGTCCTACGACATCTTAGGAATCCTATGAAACACTACGAAACTCGTGCAGGTTTGTTCAATGTTTGAGGGTTTGTACAGCGTTTCGGGTCAATCTGTCTTTCTTTCCCGCATGCCTGCTTACCTTCCGTTCCGCCCGCTCGCACGGGGGAAGTTAAGGCACGAAAAGGGGTGTTGATGAGATTATTTGGATGTTGTCGTGTGCACAGGCCCTGCTGCATCCTAGTTTTTGCATGTCGCAGGCGTTCACTTAAAATCACTTTAAATATGTTCTTCAAGCCGCATGCGATGGAACGATGTGCGTGACATGTGGGCTTTGGCACCGAAGCCTGACAATTCGTGCGTGTGTTGTTCGGGGCCTGACCATACGATCTAAAACTCAGCTTAGGATATGCCACACTGGACACATGCACGCACAGATTCTGATCGCGTTTACGGCGGAGCAAACACAACTCACTGCCGATGCTTGAAAGAACTTCGTGAATCCTCTCTGGAGCGGGTCACTGCTTTCATCTGCTCAAGCCTTCGAGTCCTGAATGCCGCTGCTTGGTTTGCCAGGTCTTTTTTGTACTTCGGATCTTTTCGGCTTTTGTACTTGCTCGACATGATTTTGCAGTCGGCATAGTACACCAGTGCGCGACGAGTTTGTGTAGAACAAGGCAAGTTAAAGTGGTGGAAAGTCGAATAATTTCCATAAACCACATCCCCGGCGTTCAAATGCACGGAGCCATACTTGTCCTGCTCGTTGGGCAGCTGACAACACAAGTCACCGCCAGGTCCGGACTGAAGAACTAACACAAAGCCTAAGCCACGGTCATCATGGTCAACATGCAGACGGGTAGACCCACGACTGTACCAGCATGATGTGGCGGGCAACCCCGGCAGTCTGCACGGCCCAGCGACACTAGTGGCTTCCATGGCAGATTGCCACACCCGCGGCATGTGGATTTTGAGGTGCGGTGCCAAGCGCTTGGACAATGCGTCACGACCAACGAAGGGGACTCGCGGATAAAGCCCCTGCCTTTCTCCATTTTGTCATATCCTTTTGCTGCAAAGCCACACTGGAGACCTGCCGTTCCTCCGGCGCATTTCTGAGAGAGCTTGGAAGCAAACTCTTGCTCAAGCTCTTTTGCGAAGGTCTGAAAGTCTTTGAGGAGGTCGTGGGGGGGAGCGGCGCGGATGACGCCCAGGCACGGAGTTTTGTTCACGCGCAAAGGCAGCTCCGCATCCTTCAATTTCACTTGGTTGCGACGGAATGGTCTTTCCACCGAAACACCATAGCCCGCACTTTGCTATGGAAAGGCGTCCGAGCGGAAAGTTGTACCCCTACAGTCCCATGCCAACGCCTGATGCGGTGACAAATGCCAACGCCTGATGCGGTGACAAATGCAAGTTTACGCGGCGCAGGGAAAAACCACGTTTGGGAGAAAACCCTGCGCCGCGAAGTTTAAGCGGAATGCAAGATGCGGATCGTGTGCGACTAAGTGCTCACGACCTGCGATGGAGGAAGCGGCAGCAAAAGAGTTGCAGAAAAAGATGGCATGTGCCTTGCATCGGGCAAGTGCGATGACTCTAGCACTTATAAGCCAAAAACAACCGGGCTGGGAGCAGGTACCAATCAAACCTCTTTGAAACTTTCCCAAACAGCGCCGAGCAATTCCAAGAATTCGAAACGGAAGAACAGCACAGCAGAAGGGAATCTGATACATTCGCCTGAAAAATCTAGGCAAGCCTTCAGTCCACAAGAAAAGAAGAAAAAGACATGACACGAATCCTACCAGAGCACCTCATCGGCTTCTCGCTCTGTCGCCTTGCACCTCATCCAGATGGCTCAAGCATCCACAGAGTCCACTGCTAACCGGCTGCCACAGTCCAGCCTCTGCGCCATCGTGTCGAGAAGTGATCCAAAAGCTCTGCTGTTGGATGTACACTTCGAGATAGTTGGCAACTGAAGTGCCTGAAATCTTAGAATCTTAGAGGATCGCACGGACACAAAACTACAACGCTTGTGGATCTAGTTCAAAGAAGTAGCTGTGCGGGTTTCCTGAAAGCCTGGTTGAACACACATCCAAGCCGTGCGTGTGCATGCAAATAGGTAATGTAGATGCTCACGCTAAAGCTTGATTGTGCCGCAGAGGCTGCAAACTCGTGAAGGAAGAGATGCGATGCGCAAGCCAACAAGCATGGGCCCAAGTCCGATAGTCGGATGCTCTGCAACATGGCATGGAAGTAGGCACTGGCAACAGCGCTCGCATAGCCAAGGCTTTTCTTCCAACGCACTTTCACCATATTCTTGTTGCAGTCCTCGCGCTCACGTCCTGTCAACTCAAAATCACAGGCAGCCGACCGAAAGTCACATCGCTGCGCCCCAGAGGAAACCGGCCCTAGATCGCCTCCGGTTGGAGTTCTCTCTGTGAGCTTTGGGGCTTGAGTTCTTGCGAAAAAAGGCGCACGAGGAGCGAAAAGGAGCCTGCCTCCTCCCCGCAGGCTGCCTGTTGGACTGCGATGCGTCAGTGCCACAACGGTGCAGCTCAGCTCATGGCAGCACTTCTTGAGTCTGTAGTATAGTCTCTAGTCTAGCCATGGAAAACCGACCGGGGCCAAGAGCCTGTTCCGTCTTCTTGAGCGGGACCGGCTCTTCAGGCGCAGGTCCCTGCCTTGGCCTTGGCTGCTCGACTTCGATGCTTCCGCGCTCAAAAACCGTGCCCTGTTCGTGTTCACTGAACAGCGTTGCTGGCAGCCGCGTTGCAAACGAGCCTCGAAACACTCCTCCCGGTATCTCAGTCCCCGGCCAGCTGATCGATCTCGCTCGGATCTGGGAGACCAAGGCCTTCCTTCTCGTCCCAGCTCCCGTCCATCTCGCGGCACGCGCCTTCGAGCCAGGGGCGTCAGAGACCTTCGTCTTGGGCGCGGCCTGAGCTCAGCCGCAATCGCATGCAAAGAGCATCTTGCAAATGCAGTTGGGTCGGGGAACGGCTGTTCCGAATCTTGCTGTTGTGCCATGGCCTCCTCCTTGCCAAGGCAACTGCGAGGCTCGAAACGGGCCGCAAACGTGAACAACTGCAGAGGCCTGTTCCATGACCAACCTTTGCCACTCAACCGTCTCCATGGCCTTGGAGATGCTCAAAACCCGCAGAGATTCAAACCAAGGGCAGAGGGCCCACTTGTAACACACTTGTAAGGCCTGGACATCTTGGGCAGCGCCAAGTAAATCACAAGCACCAAGCAGTTCTTCACGGTGTCCCCCATCCGCTGGATTGCGCTCCCCACGATCGTGATCTCGAACATCTCTTGGCCTTCCAGCAATGTTAAACCCCTGCCAGCACTCTGGGTGCTTCCTGCCGCAGGCCCCGGACCGGGATGGCAACGCCTCCACGTTTTGCGTTTGACTGCTCAAACAGTGAATGACAATAGGGCGATTCATCACAAAATGACGGACCGACCTTGGCTGTGGCTCCAGGTGGAATCCTCCGTCTTGCACCTGGTTCTACATGAAGGTCACTGGCTGATCTGGCTGAAACTGGGAGCTAGCAGGCATGTGAGAATCCACTTGAGCAACGTAGCCTCGCTGCAACTCTGGCTTGGGCCACTGATCTGGCCTTCGAGCTTGAAAAAGCTTGCGCTATCTTGCGCTGTTAAGGAGGAACTACTTTGCGGCTTGACACCCAGAGCTGCAGATGGCGCTCGTAGACGGCGCGCTACAGTGGGGAGGCTTGCCGGCGGCGGCCCATGGAATCCAAATCAAATCTTGATGCTACGAGTCGTGCACTAATGTCCAAGAGAGGAGCATCCACTACTACCGGCTCGTCGGGCCTAGGCCTGGTCTCATCCGTGCCTGCGCCTGCGATCGTGCTGGCGCGCTTTGCACAGCGGCTCTCGGATGCCCAGCCTTGCTCCGGCTGAGTCGGCTCCGAAATCCGTGCTGGGCGCCGCTGCCTTCCTAACAACGAAGAAATTCATGAAAGGCGTGCGTCGCTTGGTTCCATGGAGCAGGGCAGCCGTTGCCTCCGTGGTCAGCACGGGCATCCGGCTCCTCGTGCACAGGCGCGTAATCACCTGCTGCGGGCATGCTAACAGTCGCAAAAGCAATGCGTTATTTTGCATCAGCACAGCTCGATCTTCGTCACAGCAGCCTGGAGGCTTGCCTGCGCCGGGACTTGGAGCATCGGATTCCCTCCTTCGCCGCCGACGGCGACTGTGGCCCGGACCTGTGTCATCACACTTTGCTGTGCTCTCTTTTTCTGTGCGAAGAGCGCCTGGACCCTCGTCACCATTCGTGGGCAGGACATCGGACCTGGCACTCTTGCATTTGAAGCACGTTGACCCTCGAGGGGATGTCTGGCCTCGCTTCTTTGGAGATGCCGTTCTCTTCCGCTTGCCCTTGCAAGAGAAAGCCGTGACACCCGGAATGTTCGCAGACAGAAGAAGTTAACACGATTTAACACGTCCAGGATGTTGCAGTGTCGCTCCCAACGACTCATTGTGCCCTGTGCTGCCCTTCCCACTGAACACCTGCATCTGCATGGTTGTGCTTCCGACGCCGTCGACGCCCTTTCTCCTGATACATGAAGGCAAGGATCGACAGGACCACTTCTGCCGAACTGGGCAAAGGCGCCTTCGGCCGCTTTTCTCGCAATGGGCGGGCAGGCTCAAACCTTGCATTGGCAGCTTTGCATGCTTTCCAGTGAGGGCATTGAAGTCAGTCGGTCAGGTCTGGGCGGCTCTTCCACCACCTGCCAATGTTCCAAGCAGCGTAGATCTCACAACAGCTCATCACATCTCTTCACGACCCAGCACTCAGCGTCACATTCTCATCCGTTTAAACAGGAACCCCTTGATTAGAGTTTCTACTCACCTAACAGTCTCGTATCTCAGACAGCATGGACAAAGGCGGCAAACCCGCAATAGCTTTGAATAGAGCACCTTCATGATCCATGCCGATTCATTCAGGGGCGCGCACAAGTGGCTCCCTGCCGCGCCTGCACCGAGCGCGGCAGCGTGGGCGGGGCCTGTCGAGCGGTGCTGAGATGTGCTGAGCGTGACGGCTTCGGCTTGGGAGGGTGCGAAAGGCGAAAGGCCAAGGGCGGGGGCCTCGAAGTCCAGGTGCTCGCTGGGCTCGCGGGGGCGCTTGAGCGGTTGCTCGGCTGCAGGCCCTGCAGGCGCTGCAGGAGGCCCTGGCTCTGGTGCCTGGTCCTCCTCTTTAGGCGGTCTTTCTGTCGGCTCAGACTCCTCATCCAGCTCGACCCGGATGCAGTCAGCCGGCGAAGTTGGCTCGTCAGGCCCTTGCAGCTGGACTGGCGATCTGTAGGCTTGGCTCGCTTGTTGGGCCGCTTGGAGCACGTGGCGTGGGGGCGTCGGAGTGCGCGTAATCTCCATGTCTTGCCTTGCCGGCTTCCTCGCCTCCTCCTCCTCCTCCTCAGACTCCTGGCTTGAATCCTGACTCGGGGACTTCTGCCTCACAGGCTCCGGTTCTGGCGACTTCCTCACAGCCTCCTCTGCAGGCTCCTTTGCAGCCGGAGACGGGGAAGGAGAAGCGTCCCTCTTCTCGGGGTCCTGCTTCTGGGCCTCGGTTTCGCTGGGCTTTGTTGGCTCCTGCGTTGGCTGCGCAGCTTGAACTGGAAGGGGCAGCGGCATGGGCGGCGGGGGTGGGAGCGGCTTTCGCAGATCGTGCGGCATGGGAGGCACTTCATCCTCCTCCTCGGACAAGCACACGGCCATCTCCACCGGGGGCTCCGGTTTTGCTGGTGGCTGCGGCAGAGGCTTGCGACGGCGCGCCGGAGGAGGCGTCGGGGTTGAAGCGGGCACAGGCATCACTGGCATCGGCTCGGGCGCAGGCACTGCAGGCACTGCCGGCACCGACACTGGCTTGGGGGCCGTGGCGTGACCAATCGGTCGCCGGATTCTTCCGATAGGCGCGGCCAACCTGGGAAAAGACTTTGCGGAACAAGATGAAAAGGCGATCACTAAGTGTTAGAGCGGCTCCGGTGAGTGACACCGCGGCCAAGCTGCTTGATGTCGAGGTCGCAGCGGCCGAGGTCCAACCGAACGGCCTGGACCTCGAATGACTCGAATCATGCGCAAACGCTCAATTTTTCTCTGCAACATGCCGGAGATCGGCCTTCGCAGGCAGCCACCGGCCCGCCGAGACGCTCCAGTACTCCACTTGCTCGCCGACCTCCAACAGGTGCCGATCCACTCCTCCTCTCATTCTCTTATTCTCTTGCGTGGCACCTCGTAGCGCTCTTGGGAGGCCCGTGGCGAGGAGCGGACCTGTGAAGACGGCCGGATGCCACCATCGATGCAGACAGCACACCGATGGAACTCCGTGGCCTTGTCGGCGGAGACTCCCTTCTTGCAGTCCAGGTCGTAGCAGATGTTTCCCTCCTGGCACTGCTTTGCACTGCTCAGCCACATCCGTGACGGCACTGCGTGCCAGCGCACGGCGGGGTCCAGTTCGAACATGCGGAGCACCAGCGTCTCCACCCACCTCTGCTTCGTCTCGCTGAAGTACTGCACCTGCACAGCACATTCCTGACACCGAGCCCGTGCCTGCGCGCGCCTGCACGAGCCAGCAGATCGGAGCCTGGTCTCCGGCTTTGAAGCCACAGGCCAGCGGAGGAGGAGGCACGTCGACCTCGCAAGCCACGTCACGACAAAAGTGAGTGTAGGAGATGAAACATATAGGAACAACGGTACAACATGGTACAACGACGGAGGCGGACGTTGTGGGCCAGGATCGGGCCCAGCAAAGGCCGCGGAGCCTGTCCAAGGCTGGAATTGGAAGTGCCGCGCCTGCACACACGCGGTGCTCGCCTTCAGCAGCGAGGCGGAAGCTTCCGACGTGCCCGAGACCTGACAGAAACAGCCCGACATGCCATCTGAGGCAGAGGCAGAGGAGTCGGCGGGCCTTGCGGACTCGGTTCAGGGGAGCTCCCGGCTTCACGTCCAGGTCACAGGCCCGTGCCTCGAGAGGATATGCTCCACCCGCGACTTTCTCCTAAATAGGCTCCTGCAGGCGAGGCGCCTCCAAATTCAGCCGCTCCACCTGCAACGAAGAGTAGCCCGCACCCCGCGTTGTCTCTCACGCTCTTGGTCTCACTCGGCACTTTCAGGCCTTCGCAGGCATCCACCGATGTCCCGAGGCGCTCCAGTATTCCACCAGCTCGCCTACCTCACAATTGACCCTACAGCTCCTACACGTTGAGTTGCATCTCACCATCTTCGTCCTTCTTCTGCGGTTCAACTGCATAGTACAAATGAAACATAATGAAACTGCAATTTTCGGTGCACCACTGAGTGCTCGCGTCCTTTCCCAACATGGCTCGAGGCGTTCCATGTTCCAACACATTAAACATGAGCTCCTCGCCTCGGACCTCGATGCTCCCAAGCAGCAGCGCTTCCCCTTTTTCATGCTTCCACCGATCCAGGGTCACTCTGCAAACTTCACAGGCGGTGGTCAGGAGGTATGATGGAGGTATAAGGGTATTACGTCTATAGACTGTCTCTAGTCTCGGTGGGGGAGTCACGTGGTTTTCCTGCATCACGCGGATTTTGGAATCGCTTGGTGTCCTGACTCGCGTGGTTTCCTGAATCGCAGAGTTTCCTGAATCGTAGCCGTCTTGAGGCGTCGACTTTGTACTGGACCCCAGAGTGGCGCAGCCGCTCAGCCGGAACCCCCTTCTTGCAATTGAGGTCGTACGCGACGATGGCCCCGTCCTTGTAGGCAAAGCTGCACAGCACAAGTGGTTGCTGAACCAGTGCATTGCCACGCCCATCGCTCCTTGGCGTGGTGGCCTTCCACCTCGGCCAGGAAGCAAAGATCAGATGTAGATTCCTCAATTCAACTTGCCAATGCCACAGAGGTGCGACAGCGTCGATCCATCGTTCCTTCGTCTCGCTGAAATACTGCACCTGGAGATTGCGGCAGCCACGCCCGCGTCTGCAACTTACGCGGCTTTGGACGAAGGAAAAAAGCACCAGCACAGCATGACAGCATTGTCTGCACAAAGGGATGGCCTCCTCCCCATTTTCGAAGCGAGCCTCGCTCCGGTATGAGGACGGCACACCAGGCACACCATTACGCCCAGACAGGCGCAGTCAATGCAGTGGCAATTTAAGCACAAGTACTGCGCTCGTTCTAGACATGACTGTTTGCAGGGGTCCGCTGACTGTCCCGTCCCTGTTCCCCCGCCTCGTGGCTGTCTCCATCACCAACAGCCTGTCCATGTGCACAGGAAGAGGAGCAGCAGGTCATTCGGCCGTGCATCTGTGCAGCCCCTGCCTGGTCCCGAACCTGGAGATCCTCCGTAACCTTCTTTGCCTGCCAAGTTTGGAAGCTTCCAAGCTTCGGAGCTCTTGGGCTTGCTGAGTTCACTGCCGGTTCAGGAGCAATAGGCTCTCGCGACCGAGGAGCCTCTGGGATCTCATCTCCTGCACCCGTAGAGCTCCGGGCTGCTGGAGCTGGCCTCAAGGCAAGTGACCAACAAAAACTGACCCAAGTAAACAAGTAAGCCTTGACTCTGACTTGTCCTTTCGCAGATTCCGGCGTTTCGATGCGCTCAGGCTCCAGACGCATCCTCGGCGGTGCTGGCATCCTTGACCCTTGCGATCTCTGCCTCGCGGACGGGACGCAGTCATGCTGTGCATCGGGCCCCAAGGCAGATCCCGGCCTGAGCCCTCGCGGTAAGGTCGTAGGACAGCAGCTCGCCGTCGGCATCCCGGTTCACTCTTTGGACGTGGGCTTCGACCTGAACACCAAGGGAATGCGGAAAAGGACTCCCTTTCACACGCTCCAAGCGTTCGCACCCACTTGCGGTGCGTCCCGCTCCAGTAGCGAACTTTCTCACCGATCGCAAAGACCCCTCGGATGGGCAAGCCGCTAAGCCGCTAAGCGCACGTGAGCATCCGGAAGACTCGCAGATCAGGCACGTGGTGGATCTTGAGGAGCCGGTTTCAGCGGAGCGCTCGGGGCCTGCGCCTGGCTAGTTTTGGCAGATGGACTTCACCAAACAAATGCGCTACAGTACTGTACCTGCCGTCGCGGCCTCCGGGCTTGCCACTGCCGGGACGGAACTCTTGTGCTCCTCCTCACATCGAGATTTGCTGCGCAAGTCTCCTGCTCTCTTTCCGCTTTTTTTGGGCCTGCTGCAGCTCGCGGTCCCGCCGCTCATCCCGCTCCTGCCGGAGCTCCTGCATGCCGCTCCGTGCGCGCTCAGCTATGCGATATGCGTGACTGCGCTTGTTCATCACTGCCTTGTCAAGTCGATCCTTGCGCCGTCGCCAGGGCGGCGGGTCCGCCTGAGCATCGCCGCAGGTTGATTCTTTGTTGCCAAGCTTTGCACCAGCCTCGTGAGAGGCATCGGCCTAGCGACCAGGAAGCCCCTGGAGCTGCTGCTACTTCGCAGAAGCCCCCGCCTCGGCCCCTGCGGTGCGCCAGGGAGGCGGTCCCCGATCCAGCGACTTCCTCAGATCCAGTGCCGAGAAGACTCGATGCCGACAGTACCGACGGCTGGGTTTGTGCTCGAACTGAATCAACTCGTGCACTCGGAAGAGTTGCTACTCCAACTTTGGGCGCAGGTGAATTACGAAGAGTTCGTGCTTTTGGCCCTTCTGCTGAACTCCCGGGCTGCCATCCCAAGCGAAGGCGCTCGCTCCGCTTCTTGCCGCTGAGAATCGGTTCGCCAATATCCTAGCGCAGTGTGCTGTCCAGCAGATGCAATGCCAGCTATACAACTTGTAACAAGGGTCCTTGTCCATGCCATGCATTTCCATGAGCTGCAAGGTTCAGGCACGAATGGTGTTGCAGAGTGTTTCTGCTCAAGACTGACTCTGGCTGAAAGTTCGAGGGCTCAGGTCGAACAACGCGCATGACTAGTCCATGATAAGCAGGGGATGAAAGGCACAGGCCGGCGTGGCATGGTGGGCTGTCCGACACGGTATTGTTCTGCGAGCCGAAAAAGCTGTCCAAACCACCGACAAACAGCTGAATCCAGCATGGACCAACAACGACCGGCCATGGAAGGTCATCCGATCAAGACTGCAACTTCTGCAACGAGAAACCAAGTGATCGGTCTGCCCTTCCTGCTTCAGCAGTGTGGGACCAGTGTCCTGAATTGGAATTGGCGCATGCAGCCCGGAGTTCGTGCAAGGCGCAGCAAGCGCAGCAAGCACAGAGTTCCGGCTCTGTTTTCATGCACGGAGATGCTTGGACTCGCGGTTTTCAGGCGAAGGTGCACAGCAGATCCGGCCAGCTTTGTGCACCTGGGCTGGGCTCATGCATGTCACTCGCTCTCGACGGAACTGTTGTCTGGGCAGCATCATGCACCTTCAGCATCTTTTGCGGTAGGCTCCGAACATTGCCGCGCAAACTCCGCAGTCGAATCCTCTTCCTTGAGACATGGTGACCGACAATGGCGTGCGTGCAAGCGTGCGCTGGGTTCTCGAGTCATTTCTTCTGATGCCTCCTGAAATGTCTTGCCTCTCTCGCCTCAGATGCAAAGCAAAGCTCAAGACCGGAGCGTCTTCCTGCTGAGGCCTCGCACTCATGTCGGCAAAAGAGCTATGCCAGGGCCGCGGGTGTCTCCCATTCCGGCATCATCCCATCGGAATCGGAATAATCAGACTTGATCGTGCGCTTCGCTGTATGATTGTGCTGCAGCTTGCTCGTACATCTCACTGAAAAAGACAAGGTCAGAGACATGCGGTATGCGGTGTTGCATGGTGGTGCTTGCGCCACTACACTTGCCACACCGAATCTGTCACCCATGTGCAAGCTTGTAGGCAGCAGTTGGATGTGGATCATGTTGCAGGGCATTTGGGTAACCTAAGGCCAAGCTTGCCCGTACTTTCATATGTATATATAGAGAGAAAGACACAAAGAGAGAGAGAGAGAGAGAGAGAGAGAGAGAGCGAGCGAGCGAGCGGCCTAGATAGATAGATAGATACACACACGTGCGCTTCTGAAAGTATATCCGGGAAGATTAGAAGGGAGATAGAGAGCGAGAGCGAGGCGCTAGAGGGAGAGAGAGCAAGGGTCAGGCAAACAGAGACAAACCCGGCGCGTACCCGCTCGCTTTGTCAAAGAATCGGCCTGTCGGTCGAGTCAGCATGTCGAGCTGCTACTGCTTCACTGATGCTCTCGTCCTGACCTTAGACGATTCTGCTATATTCTGCACAAGTGCTAGCGCCCCGAGTTCTTCCCGTTCTCTCAGTAGCGCCACTGATCTGCCACTTGTCTTGTAGGGGGGAGAAAAGGGGGAGCGCTCTCTCTGCTTGTCATCTGCTTCACTGAGAGTGCTTTTTCAGAGTTCCGTGCGCGCCGCCAACAGCAGGAGCTCCTCGAGAGTGCTCCGTCCTGCTTGGAGAGGGAGAGGGCTTGGAGAGGCACTTTAAAAAAAACACGCAAAAAAGGAGGAGAGACACTCATAGAGAGAGAGAGATAGAGAGACTCTAAATGACATATGCCGCGTTCTAAGGGCAGCGCGCAGGCAAGACATCTGAGCCAGCAGAGTGCGCTGCTCGTCCTGTTAAGAGAACTTTTCTGCTTAGAAGAACTCGCACATTCTTAAAAGTGCTGCAACTGTTTGCACTCCCCTCTTTGCACGCTGCTCAGCACGAGTCCTTGACAGACGACGGCCTGATGCACGAAGCGGGAAGCACGAATCGTCACGAAGCACTTCAAAAGGGTCCAAAGTCGAACGTCCTGTACAAGCCTAAGGCCGAGGCTCGCTGATCAAAGATCTGGCCTGTGTAGGCGCCGCCCCGAAGCTCTCAAATCAACTAATTACTACTAATTACCATTCGGAGCTCTTTGCATCGAACCGCGCCTCCGTTTGCAAAGGATGAGAACGTGGCGACCACAGCGTCTGCGTGGTGAGCGATGTGTCACAACGAGACCGGGCAAGAGAGAAAGGAGCGAGACAGAGGGGAAGAGAGAAAGCAAGCAAAGCAAAAAGGAGATAATCGGAGAAAGAGCGGTATAGAGTCAGAAAGAGGTGGAAGGGAAAGCAAGGAAGAAGAAGGGAGCCAGGGCCTATGAAGGAGCAAGAGAGACAGAGAGAGAGAGAGAGAGAGCGAAAGGACAGAGGAGAGAGAGAGAGAGAGAGCGAGTGAGACTTACTTCGAGAGGGTGGTCTACCTGACCAGCAGTGGCACTTCAATGGTCACGCACCGTTGTGACAGCGCATGTCTGGAAACAGCTTCAAGCGGATCTGAGCGGGCCTTCAACTCCTGCGGGCCTGGAGATCACCGCATGACCGCCCGCACACCAGCACAGACCAGCACGCTACTCTAAAAACCTGAGGCATCGCACTCGGCTTCTTGCCAAAACTCACCTTGGAAACGTTCGACTCAAAGCACCTCGTTCTCTTGCGATCTCTGGGCCACTTGCCGCGGCAGGCTCGTCCAACATACGCCCAGAAAACCAGCGCAAGACCTGCTTCTGCATATTATGCTTCAGCTAGAACTGCTCCAGAGTAGCCTAAGACTCGCCGTCTGGCGTATAGTTAGTGTAGTCAAGATGCACGTGCAATGTGCAACAGCGCAACTTCTTGTTGCAATGGCCTCTCGCATAACCTCCGGAGCCAAAGCAGCATCCATTTCGGCCACCTTGGCGGGCGGACACAACAGCATGTGAGAGGAACGGGCTGTCATTGCTCAGCTGCTGACAAACACCAAGGACCCTGCCTGAACAGCTCTACGTTTCGCGGGAGGCTCTATCAGATCCTTAACTTCCAGGACCTGCTGTCCAGTACCAGCTCCATCCCGGCCCAGCGTGCTGTATTCGCCTCCCCAAGCGAGCTCGACACTGTGCTGCGCCCCACCAGCTGCTAGCATCACGAAGCGCTTCTGGAGCTGCTTCGACGACACTCTGTATGGTCTTAGCTCATCTGTGGGCTCCTCATCTGCATCAGCAGGGTCGGACACCTCCCGAGGCCGGTTCGCCAACTGGTGGGTCAAGCCACAACCCCAAACGAAGAGGTCGCCGTCGCACGTGCTGGCCAGCGTGTGATGGCCCCCACATCGCAGCGCGCGCACTTTTGGAAGCCCCAGAACTTCTCGAGGCTGTAGCACTGGAAGGTCCTGCCGCGCATGCACACTTCTGACATGTCTACGAGCATTCTTGGTGAATGTTTGCATCGGTGTGTTTGTTTTCTTCAAACAGTTCACACGAGCTGCAAGCAACCACAACCCACGAATGGCCCATGTCAATGTATAGAATCTGGAGCTGTCTTACGACTTTACTGTGTCTGGGATTTGCACATGTCTCTGGCGTTGTTGAGGCCAGCGTGCCTTGGCCCCGAGGCCGTGCCCACATTCCTCGGCCTTGCCCCAGGTGAACACGCGACCATCCACCAGGGCTGCCGTGCTGTACAAGCCACCACCAAGCCAGGAAGCCCCTCGAACTGCAGACACGTCTTCCAGCTGCCGCACAGCCATGCTCACAAAGCCAAGTCCGACCTGACCATCACCATTCAAGCCGCAGCCAAAGACTGCACCATCCTGGAATGTCACGAAGCTGCACTCGGCACTGGCATGCACACCGGACGCCACGCGCGGCTCGCTGCTTGTGGTGCCAACAGACAGAGGCATATCCTGTGGGTGCAAGAGCTTCTTCTTCTCTGCCTTGGAAACCTCCCGATCCGGAACCTGAAGAACCAGGGCAGTTGCACCTTGCGCAAGGTATTGCTGGACCTGCTCAGCAGTCATGGAAACTGCAGCACGCACAGAGCCATCGGCCTGATGAATCCGCACGACCTGCTCGCCTCCGACTTCGGAGCCGCCTCCATCGCGCGGCGCAAGGCCCGGTACGCTGCCGGAGCACGGCAGAACGCGCTCGGAGAAGCCACAGCCGTCTTGCATTCCCAGCTGTCCAGTGGCATTGGAGCCCCAAGCAAAAACTTGCCTGCGGCTGTCGGAGGCCACAAGGGCCACAGTGTGGTTGGCACCACTCGCGATCTGCAAGCATCCCTCGAGGACCAGCGTGGGCTCCGCGCTCTTCTCTAAGACCTCCGTTTCCTGCTTGCGCTTGTGCACGATGCCGATGTAGCCGTTGGAGTCTTTGTAGGTTCCCCACAGCCAAACTCGGCGGTTCTCATCTAGAGCGCAGCTGTGGCCATCTCCACACGACACGTGGCGCACCACAACTCCACTGGGCATCGTCACCACATGCGGCTCCACATCGGACGGACCACCATCTGAGCCATCGGAGGCAGCCCTGCCAAGGGCCCCATCATCATTGCAGCCCCAACTGTAGACGGCCCCACCGGTGGAAAGGCACAGGACATGCATTGCACCGACCGCAATTTCGCAGATGTTCTTTCCAGTGAGGGATTTCAACAGTGTGGGCTTCTGGCGCTCGCGCATGTCATCGCCCAAGCCAAGCTGGTCGCACTCCCCACTTCCATGAACAAACACGTCTCCGACGGGCACCTTGTCCGTAGTGAAATCCGGCAGCTCTGGTAACTCTTTAGTGCCGCTCTCGCTTGCCGTGGAAGCCGCAGGGGCTCCGAAGGTCACCGCTTGACTTCCGAAGCCAAACGTCACGGCAGACCCGCTGGTCCCACTGGACCCAGTGCCGCCCTGGCCAAAACCACCGAAACCGCCGAAACCGCCGAAACCACCGCCACCGAAACTGCCACCACCGGAACTGCCAAATGCACCGCTTGTTGTGGAGCTGCTCGTTTCTGCAGGTGTGCCGGCACTGAAGCCAAAGACCATTGACCCGGCTGAGCCAGCACCAAAGGTCGTTCCAGTTGTGCCCCCTCCGCGCCCAAAGGCAAAACCTGTCGGCTTGACAGCGGATGAGCTTTGGAACATGGCTATGGCTGAAGCCTTGCGTGCCTCCTCCTCGGCTTGGATCTTGGCCACATCCTCTTCGGATAGGCCGGGCTTGTAGCTCTCACAGGCCTTGCACTTGATCAAGCTGGCATCCCACCGTAGGGAGCAGGTCTCGCACTTCCACTTGCCATCATCCGCAGCCATGAGCTCAAGCAGTCCAGGTGAAGTGCCAGACGCGAGGATGAGCTTGCCCTCATTGTCGGCTGAGGCTTGCATTGTCGGCATGTCTGCTTCTGAGGCTTGCACTGTCGGCATTTCGATTTCTGCAGTTTTCTGCTCTGTTGCTCTCCGCTTCGTGGGTGGCTCTGCGACATCTGCGTCGCCACTTGCACTGGCAGCGGCACTGGCAGCGGCGCCGGTAGAGGTGCTAGCAGTGGCGCTGCTTGCGGCTGTCATCTGTCCCGTACCAGCTCCATCCCGGCCCAGCGTGCTGTATTCGCCTCCCCAAGCGAGCTCGACACTGTGCTGCGCCCCACCAGCTGCTAGCATCACGAAGCGCTTCTGGAGCTGCTTCGACGACACTCTGTATGGTCTTAGCTCATCTGTGGGCTCCTCATCTGCATCAGCAGGGTCGGACACCTCCCGAGGCCGGTTCGCCAACTGGTGGGTCAAGCCACAACCCCAAACGAAGAGGTCGCCGTCGCACGTGCTGGCCAGCGTGTGATGGCCCCCACATCGCAGCGCGCGCACTTTTGGAAGCCCCAGAACTTCTCGAGGCTGTAGCACTGGAAGGTCCTGCCGCGCATGCACACTTCTGACATGTCTACGAGCATTCTTGGTGAATGTTTGCATCGGTGTGTTTGTTTTCTTCAAACAGTTCACACGAGTTGCAAGCAACCACAACCCACGAATGGCCCATGTCATGTATAGAATCTGGAGCTGTCTTACGACTTTACTGTGTCAGGGATTTGCACATGTCTCTGGCGTTGTTGAGGCCAGCGTGCCTTGGCCCCGAGGCCGTGCCCACATTCCTCGGCCTTGCCCCAGGTGAACACGCGACCATCCACCAGGGCTGCCGTGCTGTACAAGCCACCACCAAGCCAGGAAGCCCCTCGAACTGCAGACACGTCTTCCAGCTGCCGCACAGCCATGCTCACAAAGCCAAGTCCGACCTGACCATCACCATTCAAGCCGCAACCAAAGACTGCACCATCCTGGAATATCACGAAGCTGCACTCGGCACTGGCATGCACACCGGACGCCACGCGCGGCTCGCTGCTTGTGGTGCCAACAGACAGAGGCATATCCTGTGGGTGCAAGAGCTTCTTCTTCTCTGCCTTGGAAACCTCCCGATCCGGAACCTGAAGAACCAGGGCAGTTGCACCTTGCGCAAGGTATTGCTGGACCTGCTCAGCAGTCATGGAAACTGCAGCACGCACAGAGCCATCGGCCTGATGAATCCGCACGACCTGCTCGCCTCCGACTTCGGAGCCGCCTCCATCGCGCGGCGCAAGGCCCGGTACGCTGCCGGAGCACGGCAGAACGCGCTCGGAGAAGCCACAGCCGTCTTGCATTCCCAGCTGTCCAGTGGCATTGGAGCCCCAAGCAAAAACTTGCCTGCGGCTGTCGGAGGCCACAAGGGCCACAGTGTGGTTGGCACCACTCGCGATCTGCAAGCATCCCTCGAGGACCAGCGTGGGCTCTGCGCTCTTCTCTAAGACCTCCGTTTCCTGCTTGCGCTTGTGCACGATGCCGATGTAGCCGTTGGAGTCTTTGTAGGTTCCCCACAGCCAAACTCGGCGGTTCTCATCTAGAGCGCAGCTGTGGCCATCTCCACACGACACGTGGCGCACCACAACTCCACTGGGCATCGTCACCACATGCGGCTCCACATCGGACGGACCACCATCTGAGCCATCGGAGGCAGCCCTGCCAAGGGCCCCATCATCATTGCAGCCCCAACTGTAGACGGCCCCACCGGTGGAAAGGCACAGGACATGCATTGCACCGACCGCAATTTCGCAGATGTTCTTTCCAGTGAGGGATTTCAACAGTGTGGGCTTCTGGCGCTCGCGCATGTCATCGCCCAAGCCAAGCTGGTCGCACTCCCCACTTCCATGAACAAACACGTCTCCGACGGGCACCTTGTCCGTAGTGAAATCCGGCAGCTCTGGTGACTCTTTAGTGCCGCTATCGCTTGCCGTGGAAGCCGCAGGGGCTCCGAAGGTCACCGCTTGACTTCCGAAGCCAAACGTCACGGCAGACCCGCTGGTGCCACTGGACCCAGTGCCGCCCTGGCCAAAACCACCGAAACCGCCAAAACCGCCGAAACCACCGCCACCGAAACTGCCACCACCGGAACTGCCAAATGCACCGCTTGTTGTGGAGCTGCTCGTTTCTGCAGGTGTGCCGGCACTGAAGCCAAAGACCATTGACCCGGCTGAGCCAGCACCAAAGGTCGTTCCAGTTGTGCCCCCTCCGCCCCCAAAGGCAAAACCTGTCGGCTTGACAGCGGATGAGCTTTGGAACATGGCTATGGCTGAAGCCTTGCGTGCCTCCTCCTCGGCTTGGATCTTGGCCACATCCTCTTCGGATAGGCCGGGCTTGTAGCTCTCACAGGCCTTGCACTTGATCAAGCTGGCATCCCACCGTAGGGAGCAGGTCTCGCACTTCCACTTGCCATCATCCGCAGCCATGAGCTCAAGCAGTCCAGGTGAAGTGCCAGACGCGAGGATGAGCTTGCCCTCATTGTCGGCCGAGGCTTGCGTTGTCGGCATGTCTGCTTCTGAGGCTTGCACTGTCGGCATTTCGATTTCTGCAGTTTTCTGCTCTGTTGCTCTCCGCTTCGTGGGTGGCTCTGCGACATCTGCGTCGCCACTTGCACTGGCAGCGGCACTGGCAGCGGCGCCGGTAGAGGTGCTAGCAGTGGCGCTGCTTGCGGCTGTCATCTGTCCCGTACCAGCTCCATCCCGGCCCAGCGTGCTGTATTCGCCTCCCCAAGCGAGCTCGACACTGTGCTGCGCCCCACCAGCTGCTAGCATCACGAAGCGCTTCTGGAGCTGCTTCGACGACACTCTGTATGGTCTTAGCTCATCTGTGGGCTCCTCATCTGCATCAGCAGGGTCGGACACCTCCCGAGGCCGGTTCGCCAACTGGTGGGTCAAGCCACAACCCCAAACGAAGAGGTCGCCGTCGCACGTGCTGGCCAGCGTGTGATGGCCCCCACATCGCAGCGCGCGCACTTTAGGAAGCCCCAGAACTTCTCGAGGCTGTAGCACTGGAAGGTCCTGCCGCGCATGCACACTTCTAATGTTTGCATCGGTGTGTTTTCTTCAAACAGTTCACACGAGCTGCAAGCAACCACACCCACGAATGGCCCATGTCATGTATAGAATCTGGAGCTGTCTTACGACTTTACTGTGTCAGGGACTTGCACATGTCTCTGGCGTTGTTGAGGCCAGCGTGCCTTGGCCCCGAGGCCATGCCCACATTCCTCGGCCTTGCCCCAGGTGAACACGCGACCATCCACCAGGGCTGCCGTGCTGTACAAGCCACCACCAAGCCAGGAAGCCCCTCGAACTGCAGACACGTCTTCCAGCTGCCGCACAGCCATGCTCACAAAGCCAAGTCCGACCTGACCATCACCATTCAAGCCGCAGCCAAAGACTGCACCATCCTGGAATGTCACGAAGCTGCACTCGGCACTGGCATGCACACCGGATGCCACGCGCGGCTCGCTGCTTGTGGTGCCAACAGACAGAGGCATATCCTGTGGGTGCAAGAGCTTCTTCTTCTCTGCCTTGGAAACCTCCCGATCCGGAACCTGAAGAACCAGGGCAGTTGCACCTTGCGCAAGGTATTGCTGGACCTGCTCAGCAGTCATGGAAACTGCAGCACGCACAGAGCCATCGGCCTGATGAATCCGCACGACCTGCTCGCCTCCGACTTCGGAGCCGCCTCCATCGCGCGGCGCAAGGCCCGGTACGCTGCCGGAGCACGGCAGAACGCGCTCGGAGAAGCCACAGCCGTCTTGCATTCCCAGCTGTCCAGTGGCATTGGAGCCCCAAGCAAAAACTTGCCTGCGGCTGTCGGAGGCCACAAGGGCCACAGTGTGGTTGGCACCACTCGCGATCTGCAAGCATCCCTCGAGGACCAGCGTGGGCTCCGCGCTCTTCTCTAAGACCTCCGTTTCCTGCTTGCGCTTGTGCACGATGCCGATGTAGCCGTTGGAGTCTTTGTAGGTTCCCCACAGCCAAACTCGGCGGTTCTCATCTAGAGCGCAGCTGTGGCCATCTCCACACGACACGTGGCGCACCACAACTCCACTGGGCATCGTCACCACATGCGGCTCCACATCGGACGGACCACCATCTGAGCCATCGGAGGCAGCCCTGCCAAGGGCCCCATCATCATTGCAGCCCCAACTGTAGACGGCCCCACCGGTGGAAAGGCACAGGACATGCATTGCACCGACCGCAATTTCGCAGATGTTCTTTCCAGTGAGGGATTTCAACAGTGTGGGCTTCTGGCGCTCGCGCATGTCATCGCCCAAGCCAAGCTGGTCGCACTCCCCACTTCCATGAACAAACACGTCTCCGACGGGCACCTTGTCCGTAGTGAAATCCGGCAGCTCTGGTAACTCTTTAGTGCCGCTATCGCTTGCCGTGGAAGCCGCAGGGGCTCCGAAGGTCACCGCTTGACTTCCGAAGCCAAACGTCACGGCAGACCCGCTGGTGCCACTGGACCCAGTGCCGCCCTGGCCAAAACCACCGAAACCGCCAAAACCGCCGAAACCACCGCCACCGAAACTGCCACCACCGGAACTGCCAAATGCACCGCTTGTTGTGGAGCTGCTCGTTTCTGCAGGTGTGCCGGCACTGAAGCCAAAGACCATTGACCCGGCTGAGCCAGCACCAAAGGTCGTTCCAGTTGTGCCCCCTCCGCCCCCAAAGGCAAAACCTGTCGGCTTGACAGCGGATGAGCTTTGGAACATGGCTATGGCTGAAGCCTTGCGTGCCTCCTCCTCGGCTTGGATCTTGGCCACATCCTCTTCGGATAGGCCGGGCTTGTAGCTCTCACAGGCCTTGCACTTGATCAAGCTGGCATCCCACCGTAGGGAGCAGGTCTCGCACTTCCACTTGCCATCATCCGCAGCCATGAGCTCAAGCAGTCCAGGTGAAGTGCCAGACGCGAGGATGAGCTTGCCCTCATTGTCGGCTGAGGCTTGCATTGTCGGCATGTCTGCTTCTGAGGCTTGCACTGTCGGCATTTCGATTTCTGCAGTTTTCTGCTCTGTTGCTCTCCGCTTCGTGGGTGGCTCTGCGACATCTGCGTCGCCACTTGCACTGGCAGCGGCACTGGCAGCGGCGCCGGTAGAGGTGCTAGCAGTGGCGCTGCTTGCGGCTGTCATCTGTCCCGTACCAGCTCCATCCCGGCCCAGCGTGCTGTATTCGCCTCCCCAAGCGAGCTCGACACTGTGCTGCGCCCCACCAGCTGCTAGCATCACGAAGCGCTTCTGGAGCTGCTTCGACGACACTCTGTATGGTCTTAGCTCATCTGTGGGCTCCTCATCTGCATCAGCAGGGTCGGACACCTCCCGAGGCCGGTTCGCCAACTGGTGGGTCAAGCCACAACCCCAAACGAAGAGGTCGCCGTCGCACGTGCTGGCCAGCGTGTGATGGCCCCCACATCGCAGCGCGCGCACTTTAGGAAGCCCCAGAACTTCTCGAGGCTGTAGCACTGGAAGGTCCTGCCGCGCATGCACACTTCTAATGTTTGCATCGGTGTGTTTTCTTCAAGCAGTTCACACGAGCTGCAAGCAACCACAACCCACGAATGGCCCATGTCATGTATAGAATCTGGAGCTGTCTTACGACTTTACTGTGTCAGGGATTTGCACATGTCTCTGGCGTTGTTGAGGCCAGCGTGCCTTGGCCCCGAGGCCGTGCCCACATTCCTCGGCCTTGCCCCAGGTGAACACGCGACCATCCACCAGGGCTGCCGTGCTGTACAAGCCACCACCAAGCCAGGAAGCCCCTCGAACTGCAGACACGTCTTCCAGCTGCCGCACAGCCATGCTCACAAAGCCAAGTCCGACCTGACCATCACCATTCAAGCCGCAGCCAAAGACTGCACCATCCTGGAATGTCACGAAGCTGCACTCGGCACTGGCATGCACACCGGACGCCACGCGCGGCTCGCTGCTTGTGGTGCCAACAGACAGAGGCATATCCTGTGGGTGCAAGAGCTTCTTCTTCTCTGCCTTGGAAACCTCCCGATCCGGAACCTGAAGAACCAGGGCAGTTGCACCTTGCGCAAGGTATTGCTGGACCTGCTCAGCAGTCATGGAAACTGCAGCACGCACAGAGCCATCGGCCTGATGAATCCGCACGACCTGCTCGCCTCCGACTTCGGAGCCGCCTCCATCGCGCGGCGCAAGGCCCGGTACGCTGCCGGAGCACGGCAGAACGCGCTCGGAGAAGCCACAGCCGTCTTGCATTCCCAGCTGTCCAGTGGCATTGGAGCCCCAAGCAAAAACTTGCCTGCGGCTGTCGGAGGCCACAAGGGCCACAGTGTGGTTGGCACCACTCGCGATCTGCAAGCATCCCTCGAGGACCAGCGTGGGCTCTGCGCTCTTCTCTAAGACCTCCGTTTCCTGCTTGCGCTTGTGCACGATGCCGATGTAGCCGTTGGAGTCTTTGTAGGTTCCCCACAGCCAAACTCGGCGGTTCTCATCTAGAGCGCAGCTGTGGCCATCTCCACACGACACGTGGCGCACCACAACTCCACTGGGCATCGTCACCACATGCGGCTCCACATCGGACGGACCACCATCTGAGCCATCGGAGGCAGCCCTGCCAAGGGCCCCATCATCATTGCAGCCCCAACTGTAGACGGCCCCACCGGTGGAAAGGCACAGGACATGCATTGCACCGACCGCAATTTCGCAGATGTTCTTTCCAGTGAGGGATTTCAACAGTGTGGGCTTCTGGCGCTCGCGCATGTCATCGCCCAAGCCAAGCTGGTCGCACTCCCCACTTCCATGAACAAACACGTCTCCGACGGGCACCTTGTCCGTAGTGAAATCCGGCAGCTCTGGTAACTCTTTAGTGCCGCTATCGCTTGCCGTGGAAGCCGCAGGGGCTCCGAAGGTCACCGCTTGACTTCCGAAGCCAAACGTCACGGCAGACCCGCTGGTGCCACTGGACCCAGTGCCGCCCTGGCCAAAACCACCGAAACCGCCAAAACCGCCGAAACCACCGCCACCGAAACTGCCACCACCGGAACTGCCAAATGCACCGCTTGTTGTGGAGCTGCTCGTTTCTGCAGGTGTGCCGGCACTGAAGCCAAAGACCATTGACCCGGCTGAGCCAGCACCAAAGGTCGTTCCAGTTGTGCCCCCTCCGCCCCCAAAGGCAAAACCTGTCGGCTTGACAGCGGATGAGCTTTGGAACATGGCTATGGCTGAAGCCTTGCGTGCCTCCTCCTCGGCTTGGATCTTGGCCACATCCTCTTCGGATAGGCCGGGCTTGTAGCTCTCACAGGCCTTGCACTTGATCAAGCTGGCATCCCACCGTAGGGAGCAGGTCTCGCACTTCCACTTGCCGTCGTCACGCAGAAGCGCTGCAAGAGGATTAGCCTCCTCTGGTGGGGAAAAGCCGCCATCGCCGCCGCCCGCGCCATCCACAGCATTATCGAAATCAGCGAAGTCAGGGAGAGCTGGGTCCCAAGCCTCTCCTGAGGTCATGGCTGCAACATGCTATGTGACACATGACATTCTGGACATCATTTCCATGCTATTGACTGGTTGTTGCGTTGAGGTGGTGATGGTTGAAGCTCGAATGCTTGAAGAAGACCAGCTGCTGACGAACTGAATGCGCACATGCGTGCTGATTCATTGTGGGCTCGCGAACGTGGTTGTTTCATGACCATGCTGGTTGGAGCAGGCTGCGGCAATCTCCAATCACCCCCCTGAAGCCACACCTTAAAGCCTCAAAGGAGTTAGAGGGTGCCTACCTAGGTGCATGGCACCACCCAACCCCTACCCTAGGATGCCCCCAACACTCCGCATTAAGGCTCCACCCCCAAGACCCCAACCACAATGCCATCCTAGGAACACACTCAACAAACCCCCCTATAGGTGCCATACACCTAAAAGGCAAGGGGGTGCGGGCCCGGATCCTCAGGGCCTCAGCGCTCGATTCTGGAGGCCGGCTGTGCTGCTCCAGCTTTCTGGATGCACTGCAAAAAAGGTTGCTCTAAGTAGCCCCTAAAGCATCGCGAGGGGCATCGCCTCGTGTTTGCGCACCTCGGTATGCCTCATTGATTGATTTCATTCGGGCTTCAAGAAGGGTACAACCACAAGCGAAGGCATACAGTAAGAAAGAAACTGCCTGCTCCCTTGATCGGGGTGTTTAGGAGTTCAAGGACCCTGCTGGGACTCCTGGGTTCACACCAGAAACCAAACAAACATGCCAAAGCTGACAAATCATCCTGCCATCTCGCAGCTGCATGGCTGCTTGAGTCTGTGTACATGACTTGCCATCTTGATTCAAGCTGATGGCTCCGGATGTGCCTCAATAACTTGAGGGCGCATCGTCTAGCGTACAGGCATGTACCGGACACCATGGCCCAGCGTTCCCAAGCTATGGGTTGCAACAATCGCTCCGCGCTGCTACTCCAACTCTTTTCATCAGGGGCAGCATTGTGCGCACTCTTGGCTTGGCGCGCTGAATATGCGCACACAGATGACTCAGAAAATCGCCTGATTTCGGATTCTCCTTGAACGGCGCCGCAAGCAGCAACAACACTCTCAGGGCAGATGCGGACAGATGTGGACAGATGTGGAGGGGTGGAGAGATCTGGACTGCACAAGACCAGCAACCAACCCGCGGGCAGGGCCTCGGCCCCGTGCGTAGGGGCCAACGCAGCCAATGCAGACTAATGCAATCCACACTCTCGACACCACTTGCTGAGTCTCCTTAGCTCAATCGCAGAAACCACGCAAGAACTCGCTCTGCTGATGAGTGCTCCAGGCGATTGTCTACTGCAATGGAGAAGTGGGCTGCACCTTTCGATACTTTACACCGTAGAAAGTTGGCCGATCCGGACGTCGCCACTTGCGATGGATATCCGGCTCCATGAGGAACTTGTGGGGAATGAAATTCGAAGGGGATGCAGACCCACACGCCCCAGCAATCAGGTGACCAGCTGGTGTGTCATCCCCTCCTCCAGTACCAGCTCCATCCTGGCCCAGCGTGCTGTATTCACCTCCCCAAGCGAGCTCGACACTGTGCTGCGCCCCACCAGCTGCTAGCATCACGAAGCGCTTCTGGAGCTGCTTCGACGACACTCTGTATGGTCTTAGCTCATCTGTGGGCTCCTCATCTGCATCAGCAGGGTCGGACACCTCCCGAGGCCGGTTCGCCAACTGGTGGGTCAAGCCACAACCCCAAACGAAGAGGTCGCCGTCGCACGTGCTGGCCAGCGTGTGATGGTCCCCACATCGCAGCGCGCGCACTTTTGGAAGCCCCAGAACTT